TCCGAAGCAGCCTCCTGCCCCAGGCCCCAAATGAAGGCCCCGTTGGCTTACCCAGCCCAGCAGACTCCGCACTCGCCGGGTGGGAGGCGGGTCACGGAGGCCCTCCCTCTGCCTGTTCGTTCCCTGTCCTCCGTGGTGCAGCTTTATGGCCGGCATATGGAAACTGTTTCTATTTACCCAGCACCACCAGGACGCTGCTGCACGCTGTGCTCCAGCGAACGGAACCCTTGGATTCCCCGCAGGGCCGTTTCAGAGGCTGCATGCAAAGCAGCCAGCTGTTTTGCAGGGAGCGTCTGGGCCCTGTTACATCAGCGTTGCCATCTGTGCAAACAGGTCATCCCGGTTTGTCTGCCTGTCCTCCGGATGGGGAGCTCCTCTTGTACTTGGAGGCAGAGCTTCTAGTATTGTTTTGTATCCTAATGGCTGTCAGTTCGGGGGTGGTTTTTTTTTTTTTTTTAAAGTTTCTTCTCCTGCCAGTGATGTTAGTTCACCTCCCTGGGCTGATCGCCAGGATTCGGGGAGGGTAGTTGAGGGGTAGGTGTTGCGTAAGTCTTTGGTGGCTGAGGTCTCGGGCCTGGAAAAGGCTGGGTTTCACATGAGTGCTCTCTGCCCTGGGCACCAGAAGTGCAGAACAAGATGTTTCCCGTGGGGGAACTTTCCCCGGAGGCGCAGAACGGGATCTTCCTGGTTGCCAAGAATGTTCCTGGTCAGCCCCCCCTGGCCCTTTGAAACCTCCTGCCAGCAGAGAAACCGGCTTGCTGTGAGGTCCGGGACCACGGCCGCTCCCACCCTCCTGCCTGCCGCGGGCTTTTCCCCTTCTTCCCTCCGTGTCTGGCCCCGCTGCCGAGGCGGAAATGCTGAGACGAGGGCCAGCTGTCGTGTTCCTGGAGGAGGCGGTGGAGGGCCAGCTCCCTGACAGCCCCGCGGTGAGGTCGTGCTGTCTCCTGGAGCGGGGCCTTTGCGGCCAGCCTCCACCCTGCCTCGCCAGCTGTCCCGGGAGAAGGTGCCCCGCCCCGGGTAAGGACAGCGCCGGGGTCCTAGGTCACCTGTGCTGATTCTTACTTAGTCTCTAACAGTCCCTCGTGCGAGGGCCGGCCCAGCACACGGGATGGGGCTGGACCTGGGGGGCTGCGGTGAGAGCCCACCTGACCACTTTGGTGGCCAGGACTCCTTCGGTGTAGGGGACGCTCGGAAAGAATCCGGCACCAACCATCTACCTAGGGACCTTTTCTCCCAGGAAGCGCGGACTCGGCCCAGGTGGGCAGGAGTAGATCAGGGCAGGGCTGCAGGTCACCGGGGCTACTTGTCACGGGGCTCTGAGACTCCCCAGGCAGACAGACGACCTGGGGCACACCCATTGGGCTTCAGCAGGGATGTGGGGGCAGGCCATCCCCTGGGACTTGGTGCCCAGCGGCGACCAGGGGAACGGGGTGGGGGAGAATTCCCCGCAGCCCCCACTTCCAGCTCTGAGGGAGGGAGCGCATTCTGAGGAGGCCCCTGGGATCGGCTCCCCAGGAAGCCTCCTGTCACTGGGGCCTCGTGCCCCCGCCTCCACCCGGCCTGAACTACGGGCCACGCTCGGGTGGCCCTCTGACCTCTAATGGGCCCCCTCGTGCCCCCTGCCTTCTTCTCCTTTAAAGGCCGTAATTGTCCTTTCCCTTTAGGGGACTGCCGAGCCTTTGAGCATTCCCGTAACTGCGGCAATAAAGCACTTGGGATTTGGAGGTCCCTTCTCCAACCTGGGAAGTGGGAAACAGAGCAAAGGGGGCAGGGGCGAGGCCCCGCATGGCGCCCCCAGCCCCACCTCTGGCGGTGCATTCAGAGTGCTTCTGAACTCGGCTGCTGACTCCGCTGGAGGCTGCCAATGAAAGGAACAGAACGGGAGGGAGGGTCGCAGCTCCTTGCCTTCCATTTGCGCCCTTTCTGTAACCCCAAACGCTCTGGGGCCTGCTGTGAGGGGGGCTCTTTGAAGTCACCTGTGGCTGTCTTGAAAAGCCCCTCGGTGGCCCTTGTCACCAGGGCCTTTCAGCCCTCAAACAGGCTATCAGAGAGCCACACACAAGCTATCGGGCTTTGCCTCCTGGTCCCTGGCCCGCAAGCCAAGGTCTGTGTTCCGAGCAAGTGCAAGGCTGAATGGCCAGAAGCCTGGAACAAAGTCCACCTCGGAGGGGAGAATTCTCCATTCTTCTCCTCAGCGGTGCTGGTCATATTTTATTTTTCCTTCCTCTTCTACTGGAGGCGCTGCTCTGAATTGCTCCTATTCAAAATAGTTGCTCTTCGGCAGGTCCTTGAAAGAATGATCTTTAGAAAGTGCAAAGGGGTCGCTTAGCCCCCTCTGAGCGCCCTCGGGCCCCTGCAGGCTGGCTGGAGTCCACCTCGGGGCTCCGCTCGCCACACCTGCTGTGCCTGCCGGCCGCTGGCCGTTTTAAGTGTCCCCCAGGAGTGTGCCAGAGCTTTATGTCTGTCAGCACTTGCTCCCTGGAGTCTGAGACCACCCTGGGCTCTCAGGACCCCGCGGTGAGTAGGACAGAAGTGCCCGCCCTCGCGGCTGTCATCCATCCCAGGCAGGGAGGCAGGCCCCGAACAGGCCCGCCAGTAAATGACCAGGCGGTGGGAGACGGGTGCGGGGTCCAACCCCAGGAGGAAGCAGAGAGTGGTGTGGGGGACACAGAGGGTGATGGTGACGGGACCCCCCAGGGGAGCCCAAGGCAGCCTGTGAGAGGACAGTGGTGGGCGGACCCCCGGGAGATGGGGAAGGCGGCCAGGTGAAGATCTGGGGAGGGCGGGGGGTGGGGCAGTGAGCACTGGGAGAGTGACGGATGCTTGCAGCTGCCCCGGCACTGTTGTGGTGTTATCTGGGCCCGCTGTGTCTTGGACCCCGGCTCCTGCCGTGGTGTGTGTGTGTGTGTGTGTGTGTGTGTATGTGCGTGCGTGTGTGTGTGAAGGTCAGGGAGGCCAGGGCATGGGCACGCCAGAGGGCGGCACCGTCCAGCTGCCCGCCCGCCTGTGGCTGTGCCTGCTCCCCAGTCACAGGGTGGCTCCTGCTTCCCTGGCCCGCACGAGCAGGTCGGGGAAGGTGGTTCGGCCTTCTGTTGGCGCCCAGGGCTTGGTCCTTGCAGAAATGGGTGCTGGGACCCAAGTTGGGGATCACTGGCCTTGGGCAGCCACGGGCCAGCATTCCTGAGTGCCAGAGGCAGCCGGGTGTCCCTTGTCCTCCTTGTAACTCCGTTTTCGTGGTTTCTGCTGCTGAAGTTTGGTCCTTTCATGCTACCCCGCAGTCACCTTTCTCAGGTTTCCAGCTCGTGAGAGGCCTGCAGCCTCCCGCTTGGGCACTAACCGGCCTGGATCGGCCCCCAGCCCCGCATCTCACCGGCGGGTGACATCAGGGTGGTCCTTAGCCTTGCATTTCCTCACGTCTGCAGTGCGATTCATGCTGTTACCTTGTTCACAGGACTGCTGTGGGAATACATAGGTCGGCTGGTATGAAGTCCTTAGATACACACGTTATCCACTGCTGTGTTATCCAACCACTCCGACACCCAGTGCCTTGTGACCACAGCCTCATTTCCTTCGCTCGTGACCCTGCAGTCCGGGCAGGGCTTGGCAGGGGCAGCTCCCCCACACCCCGCCCCCCACCCCTGTGTCAGTCTGGACCCCTGACCGCAGCGGAGATGGCTCTTTCAGCTGGCGGACGAGTCGGTGCTGGCTGTGGGCTGGCAGCCCCGCTGGGCCGTGGACGAGGGACCTGATTCTTCTCACGCGCCTCCTCAGCACGGTTCCAAGAGCAAGGGTCCCAAGAGAAAAAGGCGGCAGCATTTGTGTGACCTCAGAAGCCATAAGCATCACATCCTCCACCCTCTATTGGCCAAGGCGCCACGAAGGCTCCGCCGGGACCCGGGCTCCGCCTCTTGGTAGGGAAGCGGGAGGTTCCAGAAGAGTGTGGGGGCCGAAAGGGAGCACTGCCCCGTCTTTGGAAGTGAAGCAAAACCTGCCACAGAGTGGGTTCGAAACAGGGTTCCTCATCCTCCTGTGCCGGGGTTCTTAGGAGTGTGGGTTGTGGGGAACCACATTCTCAGGGTAGGTGTTCCCCTTCCCGAGAAGTTAACCAGCTGACAGTCGTTTCTAGGTGTCACTGCCGACCACGTGTCAGTGGAGACACTCGGTATTGTGACAAGCAGGCGTAAGTACCAAAGGATCTTTGTGGGCTCAGGTGTTGGAAGTGCTCAGAGGCAGGTTTCGGGCAGAGCGTGATCCCGGGGCTGCAGCCTGGGTGCCCCCGTTACTGTCTTGCTCTCCGCTGGCTTCCTTCTCCCTGCGTGGTGGCGGGGGCCGCCGCCAGCAGTTGCTGGCCAGACTTGGGTCAGCACGCCTGCCTGAACCCAGCCCTGTCCAGGGGAGAGGAGGGGCTCTCAGCGCACCTGTGTCACCTGCCCGGGAGCCAGGGGTGGGGCCGGGAGCCAAAAAATGTTCTCCAAAGGCAGATGGGGCAGAGAGGAAAGGACACTGGTGTCAGCAGACAGCAGCAACACATGACCCTATACCAAGGAACAAATCCAATTATTCAATTTTTTGACTAAGTGGAATATTAACATGCATCCAAAAGTCAAAAGTCAAGAAAAAGGTCACTTCCTTTTACTCCCCTCCCCATCTCTCTTATCGGTACCCAATTTCATCGAGTTCTAATTGACCTTTCCCATATGTTTTTTCCTTTGGTCAAGTGGATAGCTGTGTGTTTTCTTGTTTCTTCCCTGTTGTACACAAAAGATATATGTGCTCTTTTGCGCTTGCTTTTTTCACTTAACAAGAGCAAGAAACATATTTTAGCTAGCCATGCGAATTTTCGCTGCCTGAGCGCACGGAATGGAGCGCAGACTTAGCGGTCGTGGCAAACAGGTCTGAGCAGGGGAGGCACCTGCCAGCCTTTGTTTGCTTCTGGTGAACAGCGGCTTCGTTCTCTTGCGCCCGGGTGGCAAGTGAGCCCCTCTCTTCTCCCCACGCAGATGGGGGCAGCTGTGCCGTCCACGACTTCCGGGACCCCAGCCTGAGCTCGGAGGGCGAGGGCTTCCCGTCCAGCCCCCCCGGACACAACTGGGAGATGAATTACCAAGAGGCAGCGATCTACCTCCAGGTGAGTGCCGCTGGGCCCGGCCCTGGCCCCTCCCAGCCCCTGTGGGTGGAGGAGGGGATCCGGGCTCTGTTCGGTGCCCAGAAATTCAGACGCAGCTTCGGTTCTCTGCGTGAGCTTCTCACCTGTACGGCGGGGAGAGCCGACCTGACGGTGTCCACATGGGAAGGGCTGGTCACGTGACCCCCGTGTATGGCTCCACCTGCCCCCGAGGCTCCCCGAGCCTGTGCCCTTGGCCTTCTCCGCCTCACTTTCCCTCCTCAGAGGCACTCAGACAGGCCGCTTCCCGGGAGGGAGTCTCCTTCGTACACTTGATACCGTAGCAGGGGTTTGCTGGCCTAGTGTGCGGGGGGGCGCGCAGAGGTCTTCATTCCTTTCCTGCTTAACTTGCTGCCGCCTTTGTGTTTCTCGTTTCGTGTTTGGGCGTTGTTGCCGTTTTTAATAAAAAGAAGCCTTTTAAAAATAAAAGTACTACATGCCTGTTACAGTAAGTTTAAGTACAGAGGGAATGTAAAAACACTTCCACCTAAGGCAAGCACTGTTCATATGTACTTTAAGAATGATACGGAGGTTTTATGTGTTTTCTATGATAACTTTGGTTGTGTGGTATCTACAGCTGTATAGCCCGCTGTTTCCATGACATGTAGCATAAGCTTTTGTCACATGTTACTGTAACCCCTGTAAGCAAGTTCTAATGAGCTGAATAATTGTCTTAGACAACTGCGTCCCGATTTGCTTCAGTATCCTGGTAAGGATGGATGTGTTCCCTCGTTTTGTGTTATGCATTTCCCCGTTATAAAGTACAGTCCGAGGGCCATCTCTGCGTGCATCAAGCTATTCCCTTCTCTCTTTAATATCTGGGGTCGTTTCATCAGGGAAGACTCGAGTCGTGGAATTACTGGGTGAAAGGAATGCACGTCTTTCGGGGCCCTGGGTGTTGCCTCTTACCTGTCAGTTTCATCGCCCCGACACACTGCCAGCCTCATCCGCCGCCGTGCGATTTCAGTTTCCGGGGTGCCCCGAGTAGGGTTTGGCTGGGCAACTGGCATCTTTCTTACATTTATTTGCATGATAATCATTCCTAATTCTTTTTCTTTGAAGCAACTTTCCATTGCAACTATCTGTTTTATTTATTTATTTTTTAAGTTTAATGAAAACCAGACATTTTTCTGGTGGTCGTGCAGTTGGCTGTGTGTTTCTAGGTTTTCTGTAGGGTCACAGCTGTGCTCCTCAACAGTGAGCTCTGGGTCAGGATAAGGCTGAAGCATGTTTTTTTAAATTTTTTTTATTTTTTTAATCATTGTTCAAATACAGTTTTCTCCTTTTTACTCCCAATCCAGTCCCCCCTCCCACCCTCCCCACTTCCCTCCCATTACCACCCTCCCCTTAGTCTATGACCATGTGTTCTTTAAGTTTGTTCCTGTGAACCCTTCCCACTGTCCCCTTAAATTCCCTCTTCTCTCCCCTCCGGTCAACAGGAACCTAAATAACAAAACAAAGAAACAAGCAAAATATAACCAAAGACGCTGAAGCATGTTTGAGGGATGTTCAGGCCTGCCTGTTGACCTGACAGGGTCACTCAGGGTCACCCTGGGCACTGTCACCTTCTCCCAGGTTGAATAGGTGCTAGACCCCACGAGGATGGGGTGGGTCAAAACCTAGAATTAGCACGGCCTGGGGCTTTTCAGAAACCCGATCATTTCCTCTTTCTTGAAGCAGGTGGGAATATTAGTGATGACAATATCTAAGTGGGCACTTGCTTGTTTTTCTAACAGCCCTGGGAGGTGGTTCAGTCACCGCCCACTTTTAGACCGAGGCTCGAGGGGCTGACTGAGTCCGAAGCCACCCAGCCACTAAGTCGCAGAGCGTGGGTTTAAACCGTGTCTGTCTGGCCTCCGAATCGCCTTCTTTCTTTTCTACGCCGTTGCCTCATTTCTAGGCCCACCGCGTGTATCTACTTGCAAACGAGCCACGCGCTGTAGGAAAAGAGGTTACAGAGCAGCAGTGGCGGCTTGACCACTTTTGGAGAACACTCATGCCCACACACGCAGACACATATATAGGTACATACATACATACACACACACGTATACAGCAGCATATACCTGCGTGTGTGTGTTTTCCCACAGATCCCATGCACGTGGGAAAGTTGTTCATCTCCATATTAAAGGTGACTAGCTGATGGAGCTTTCACGACCTGATAATCCTATGAATTATTTGAATGATTTTTACCAAAAAACCCATCAGTTTTAAAAATATCAAATCAGAACTGGGGTTTCGCTGCTTTTCGGTCAGACGGTCCTCCTTTTCCTGCTCCGCCGCTGAGCTGCGCAGCGCACGGACCCCGATCCAGGCCGCTGCTGCCCTTGGGCGTCTGGCCCCTCGCTGCTTTAAGGATGCCTGGTCCCTGCAGTTCCCCTTCCCAGATTTTATCTGTGAGCTCCCTCGCTGTCGGGAGCCACGTGCTCAGCTGTTACGGTGCCTCCAAGATGTTCCCGTTTTCTGTGTGGACTTCTTTTTTTTTTTTTTTTTTAATATTTATTTACTTATTTTTAGAGAGGGAAGGGAGGGAGATAGAGAGAGAGAGAAACATCAATGTGTGGTTGCTGGGGGTTATGGCCTGCAACCCAGGCATGTACCCTGACTGGGAATCGAACCTGCGACACTTTGGTTCCCAGCCCGCGCTCAATCCACTGAGCTACGCCAGCCAGGGCTTCTGTGTGGACTTCCGTCCCAGGGCGCAGAGAGCGAGGCCCTGGAAGTCGCGTACAACTGGCCTGCCTTCTTCTTTTTCTTAATCTCACTCACGATCAGCAGCCAGGAAACGAGGCCAGTGTTCTCTGAGGGTCTGGGTCGGGATCCAGTGACACGGGTCCTATTTCCCTCGGTCCCCAGGGGTGGAGCCCTCCCTCCCCACCGCCTCCTGCGGCAGCTCCCAGTCCCACAGTGGAAGTCAAGGCCCCCGCGTCAGTGGTTGGTTTCCTCCAGGCGGACCTTCGACCCTGGCTGTGTGCGCAGAGAGCTTTCCCGAGCATTGCACTTCTTCAGTAATCCGAACCAGAGGCTTCCGCGTGGCCGTGGTGAAAAACCGCAGCCCCGCGCAGATCGCAGCGCCCGGCACCGCGGCTCGCCCGGCCTGCCCTCTGGTTGGTGGCCGGGATGTGTGTTCCCTCGGTGGGGCCTGCCGCTGTCGGGTGCCTGCGGTTGGCCTTTGTCTGTTGGGAATGAGGGTGGTGACGTAGCCAGCCTCAGGGAAGCGATCTGCTCCCCACAGGGAAGGTCAGAGCCCCCCCACCTTCCCGGCTACCGGACAGGCATCAGCCTGGGCTGGGCCTGGAGAAGCGGTCCCTTGCAAAAATGGTTCATCCTCCTGGATGTTTGATCCTCCGGGTCAAACATCTATGACACGCCTGGGGTGTGCAGCAGACGCTGTCCTCAGTTCATTCTTGCAGGAGCCCTGAGAGGAAGGGCTGGTGTTATCTCGCGGCTAGCTGGAGAAGGTGAAGGGACTCTCTCAGTGTTCCCCAAGGAGGAGTGGGGGGGGCTGTGCTTGTTTACCCCGGACTCTCCCCCCATCCCCCGCCAAGCTTTGCATTCTGTTGACATTTCTGAGACTGAGGGTTTGGCCTCTGAAGGGATCACGTGTGCCCACTGCTCTGCCTTCCCTGCCCTTTTTGTCCTGTGACCCCTCCGCGTGGCTTTTTGGAAGCAGCGAGTCTCTCTAGCCCCCTCCGCAGGCCAGGGGGAGGCTCGGCCGCCGGGCAGTTCTGCGGCCATAGCACCTCTCAGTTTCCACCGTCTTCCACCTCTGGTCCGAATCTTCTCTTACCCGCCCAGGCCCCTCCTTGCCCCGCCCCCCGGGCCCGCGGCACGTCCTCGGTGCCGCGTCTCAGACGCTTGCCGCCCACGTGACTCTTGTCTCTCTAGGAAGGTGAGAATAACGACAAGTTCTTCACCCACCCCAAGAACGCCAGAGCGCTGGCGGCCTACCTCTTCGCGCACAACCACCTCTTCTACCTGATGGAGCTGTCCACGGCCCTGCTCCTGCTGCTGCTGTCCCTGTGCGAGGCCCCCGCCGTCCCCGCGCTCCGGCTCGGCATCTACGTGAGTGTGTGCCTGGCCGGGAGCCCCTGCTCCCTGGGGTGGGGGGACGCACCAGAAACTGTCCTCAAACTAACTCGAGCCTGAGAGGGACCATTCCGGAAGGGCAGACAGTGGGAATGGGTTTAAAAGAGACAGGCCCTGGGAGGTCACCGGGGCCTCGGGAGCAGCGATGACTCCCTGGTCTCGTTTGGGGTCCTCGGTCCGCCTGTGATTCTGCTCCCTCGGAAATTCCAGGGAGGGCGCCATCTGGCTGCCTCCCTTAGGACCAGGGCCTGCACCTCGGCTCCAGGGGGGCAGGACCCCCGATAGCAGTGCCACCCACTCTCTCCATCCTCGGGGGAAAAGGCGGGCGGTGTGGCCGACAGTGGGGAGGACAGGGGACGGCTGACGCCACGTCTCCCCACCCTCTGCTGGCAGGTCCACGCGACCCTGGAGCTGCTCGCCCTGATGGTGGTTGTCTTTGAACTTTGCATGAAGCTGCGGTGGCTGGGCCTCCACACCTTCATCCGGCACAGACGGACTATGGTCAAGGTGACGTGTCCACTCCTTACAGCTTTCCCCTCCCGTGTCGCCTTCCAGCCCGTCTCTTCAGTTCAGTTCCAAATCCCCCTGCGCTCAGAGGTGTAACCCTGGGTCCCTGCCCTCGCCGTGCTCCGGTGGGTGGGTCACAGTGCTGCTGACGGTAGCTGATGTGATTCCGGATTTGGGGCATGCCGAGCACCGGACCAGTAACCTGTGCGGGACATGCATTACCGTTCCTAGTTCCCATCCAGCCAGACAGCCGAGAACGGGGTCTAAACCCCAGGGAGAATGGGATCCAGCCCCAGGTCAGTGTGGCCTCCAGGCCCATGCCGATCTGCAGTCGGCATTGTACACATGCTCTCTCTGTGCCACGGAGAGGAGCACAAGTAGGGATGTGTCAGGGTGGCACTCTGCAGTGTAAGAAGCACACACACTGGTCCAGAGAAAGTGTCCAAGGAATCAGAGGTCAAGGGGCTCTGCAGTCCTTTCTCAGGGGTCTTCACCGTGGAGGTCAGGGGAGCTGAAACGAGGGGGCGGGTAGATGTGGCCGGGCAGAGCGGCAGTTTTGCTCCATGAAGACCACCTGAGCAACTGCTGGGAGCACTCCCCTTGGGTTCACTGTCCTGGGACCACCCATCGGTGCCCAGCCTCGGGCTCTTCTCCACGGGCCGCTTGGTGTTGGGGGAGGGCCCTGGAGAGAAGGTATGGGCCCCTCCAGACCAGAGTGGGCAGTATCCAGCCAGCCCCGAGGTTAGAGTGTTTGGGAGGGCGTCTGGGCAGAGGAGCTGACGGTGCTCCGTGCCTCTGCGCCCCCAGACCTCAGTGCTGGTGGTGCAGTTCGTCGAGGCCATCGTGGTGCTGGTGCGGCAGACGTCCCACGTGCGGGTGACCAGGGCGCTGCGCTGCATTTTCCTGGTGGACTGTCGGTACTGCGGCGGTGTCCGGCGGTAAGGCTCGGGGCGGGGCTGCTCAGACAGGCTCATCGTGGCCTGGCCTGGGCCTCTGGGCCAGCGGAGCGGGACCCAGGGAGTCCAGCAGCGATATGATCCATGCCGCACATTGGGAGAATCTCAGCACACTCTCTTCCCCCCGCTATTCCACCCACGCAGAGGGGACGGTGGGGTGTCAGCTGAAGTTTAGGCCCCCTGACTCCAGGTCCCAGGCTCCGTCCCATCTCACTCTCGGCTCTCTGGGCCTGGCTCCGCTCCCTAAGCACGTCATATGCCCGAATGCAGCAGCAGCAGCACCTAGAGCAGGCAACTCGGCAAAGAGTCCACATGATTCGGCAGCCTGTGCTGGTGCCTCCCCTGAGACCAGGGGACTGCTCTCTAACCAGACCATCGGCCTGGAGTTCGGCTGAGCTTTGAAGACTGCATCTGGAAAATCCGTTGCCTGGGGTGCTATTGATAAGATGGGCTGGCAATTCATTCTTTCTGCCCATCCGCAAAGCTGGACGCAAGTGTCTGAGGCCCAGGGAGCCCTGAACTGTCTTCCCGCATCCCACTCCTTGTGGAAGTTGACCTTTGCACCCGAGGCCATGCCCTTGGCCTTCTGCTGCTTCCTCCCTCTCTTGCGTGCACCCGCCTGCTTGCATTCTGTAGGCAGGAGGAGGTGGCGGTGGGTGCTACCCCCCACCTCCCTTCTCCTGGTCACCCGCTGAGAGGAGATCTCCCGGGGCAACACTCTGCGTGATGTCACAAGCTGGGGCACAGTGGGATTTAGTGTCCGTGGGTCAGGAGCCCCAGGCCCAGTCTCCGTGAGCGCGTCTTCGGGCCCCGCCCCACCCCGCCCCTGCTGCGCCTCACCCACCCCTCCTGGCGCCCGTGTCTCCCCAGCAACCTGCGGCAGATCTTCCAGTCCCTGCCGCCCTTCATGGACATCCTCCTGCTGCTGCTCTTCTTCATGATCATTTTCGCCATCCTCGGTGAGTTCCCCGAGCCCTGGGCCCAGGCGGTCTCTGGAAGCAGAGTCACCGGGGGAGAAACATTCTACTCAGACAGTTTTGGAAATTCAGACAGGTCCTTCTGACATTTGGATTTGGGACCTCTGCCCTAACCCTCTTTTCAATCTGTTTTCCACTACCTTCTAGGTTTCTACTTGTTCTCCCCTAATCCTTCAGACCCCGTAAGTAATCACCGTGTTTCGTCTGTTTCTTCCTCTATGGGCGGCCTTTCCCCTCGGGCAAGGCAGCTGGACCGGAGGCCCTGCCCGGCTTCTCATCCCTGTTCGTGGCCCCTGAGGGCCCCTGTTACCTAGACTTGAGCTGTTTCCTTCCTTGAGCATTAAGGGGCATGTTATCCCATCCCAAGAGCCATGTTTCCAGGGTCAGATTTGGAACGTGGGAATGTTTGGAGGTTTCGGTGAAGGAGAGTCAAGCTAGTTGTGCAAATACGTGATTCTCTAGGAGAAAAGTCCCAAAGTCGCCTGTCTACTTCTGCCAGAAGCAGAGTTCAGGAAGGCGGAGTCCTTCGTCCACGTCTGCTTGTCCCTCCGCCAGCCCTCAGGGATTCTGGGGGAGGAGGAAGAGTGGGTGGGGTGGGGAGGGAGAGGGCCAGGGCGCTCCCGGGGGCCCACGGTAGCCTGTTCCAGGCTGGCGCGCTCTCGGGCTGGCGCCAGTGTGTCCTTCTGCCTCTTTCCCCGGACAGTACTTCAGCACCCTGGAGAGCAGCATCGTCAGCCTGTTCGTGCTTCTGACCACCGCCAAGTGAGTTTCAGCTCTGCTGTGGCCCCTGCCCTCGGCTAGTGCCCAGCCAGCGGCTGGGGGCCACTGTGGGGACTCAGAGTGGCCTGTGACTGAGAGTCAAGGAGGGTGGGGTGGGACTGGGAAGGCAGAGATGGGAGATGCCCCAAGAGGGGGCGGAGGCAGGCAGACACGGGGCCCTGCAGGTAACACCCCGCAAATGCAGTTTCCCAGACGTGATGATGCCTTCCTACTCCCGGAACCCCTGGTCCTGTGTCTTCTTCATCGTGTACCTCTCCATCGAGCTGTACTTCATCATGAACCTGGTGAGTGGTCGTGTCTCGTGCCCTGCTGGAGCAGCCTGCACAGTGCTGGGCACCGTGGGAGTGGAAAAGGAGGGGCTGCCATCGGCAGGGGCCTGGGAGCCCAGACCGTAGTCAAGTGCAGTGTGGTAGGGAACGCCCTGGTGGCCTCCCTGGGTTATTGCCGTCATTATTGCCAGCGCTGCTGCTGGCAGAGCTGGAGTTCAAGCCAAGGCTCCCCTGGGACCTCTTCATTCCCCCAGCCAATGTACAACATAATAACTATAAAAGCTGGCTCTAGGAAGCCTTACCCAGGCACCATGCAAAGTGGACTAAATGATGTAACACAGAAACCCTGGAGGTCTTGTTGTGATTCTCACTTTGTAGATGAGGAAACTGAGGGCCAGATTGCTGCACAGCTCGGGGCGGCCAGGCGAGCCGGCTGAGTCTAAGCCCCGCCCTTAACGACTCAGTCCCGCCGCACCTGTGCGCTGGGGCGCCTGTGTGTTGACACCCCATTGGTTGCAAACCATCAAAAATCCAGTGTGGGACACACTCTGTTAGGGACCACGCGAAGTTCTGTGTGCAATGGGAGCTCGGGAGATGTTCACGGACCCTCGGGCGGCCACAGGCACGTGCCTTCCATGGGCCCATCACCGTCCGGCCAGTGCTAAGACCACACATCAGTGCCGGAATTGTTGGGGAGAGGCTTGTACCAAGTCTTGTATTATTTTTATACTTCTGAAGAACAGTCTCACACCAATCATTGTAGTCAGGCCCGATATAGAAATAGAAAACACTTTCTCTGGAGAAGACGTGTGAAGTCTAAAAAATTACAAGTCTTAAAAAGGAAAAAAAAATTTTTTTAATTCCTCAAAACCAAAAGGAAATGTGTTGGATATCTCTTTTATACACACATTACAGCTCTTATATCCTTTAGTTAGTTTGGAACCATAACAATGTATTACGTATAATTGATTTATTTTAATTTGTTAAAATGCAGGGCAGGGGGCTTACAAACCACAGCCTGTGGGCCCGGCCGAAGCCTGCATTTGTAAATAAAGTTTTATTGGCACACAGCCACGCCCACTGGTTTCCGCATCCTCTGTGATCGATTTCGTGCCACACCTTCAGGGTCGAATAGTTTCAACAGAGACCATCTGGCCTTCAGAGCCTAAGATAGTTGGTATCTGGCTCTTTACAGAAAATGTTAGCTGACCTTTTCTTAAACTAAAGGGGAGAAAATGAGGGGCAGCTGCAGTTTGAAGGGGTGGGAAGGGCAAGAGGGTTTCCCCCAAAATATTTTTGAAAGAGAAAGAATGTGGGTCCAAAAAGGCTTCTTGCAGATTCTGCTCCCGTCCTGCCGCCGCCCCTGGTTACGCAGGCTGTGTGGTTCACGCGCTGACCTTGGAATCTGGCAGTTCCAGAACCATGTGCACTCAGGGGCGGGCCTCCTCACTCCCGCGGTTTGGGGGGCCAGTGCGTGCAGCCGTGACCCACCGGGACAGGGAGCAAGGGGGCGGGACGGAGGCAGCTTCTAGCATGTGATGCTCCTCCCTGCTCCTCGGTCAGGAGGGCACGGGGTGGTCATGGGCTGACCGGGGCGTAGGACCCAGCATGCTCCTCCTCCGTGCTTTCTTCTTACCTTACGAGACTGCCCAGCCAGGGAGGAGCTGTAGGCAGAGAGAAGAAGTCCCTGGGGAAATGTAATAACAATGTCTTCACGTATCTGAAGAGAGAAGATTTGCAAGGGGCAATGCGTGACTTTCCCCTGCTGGGACTTGGAGACAGACTCCTGCACTGGAGGGGCGGGCAGGAGGGTTACCCCCAGCCCCTTCTGGAAGAGCACCCTCCGGAGGCAGAGGGTACAGTCCCTACTCCTTGAGGTCCCGCCACGCAGGAGAGCCAGGTCTCTCTCTGCTTTTCCCTCGCAGCTTCTGGCCGTGGTGTTCGACACCTTCAATGACATCGAGAAACGCAAGTTCAAGTCTTTGCTGTTGCATAAGCGAACCGCCATCCAGCACGCCTACCGCCTGCTCATCAGCCAGAGGGTAGGGAGGGGTCAGCTCCTGCTCCCTCCCCCTCGCCCTGGGCAGCCCCTAAGCATGGCAGGAGGCCTGCCATTGGAGGGCAGGAAGGAGCCAGGCACCCTGGGCTCCTTGCTGTGCTGGCCACCCAGAGCAGTTGTCCTCAGGGGAGGGGCAGTCCGGGCTCTGTATTTTCCTGTGTTGACATCGACATCCTTCCTGTCCCCAGAGGCCCGCTGGCATCTCCTACAGGCAGTTTGAGGGCCTGATGCGCTTCTACAAGCCCCGGATGAGTGCTGGGGAGCGCTATCTCACTTTCAAGGCCCTGAACCAGAGCAACACGCCTCTGCTGAGGTAAGAGCTCCGGCCGGCCAGGTGGGGGTGCTGTGGCCCCATGAGGCATGCAGGAGAGGGGCTTCGGGCGTGCCAAGGCACTGGGTGGGACAGGGGGCCCGGCAGAGAGCCTCTTAGAGACTTCAGTTTTCTTTGAGATTCTCGTACACGTAGACCGTATTCATCAGGAGCCTCTCCACAAGTGACAAAAGCCCCACTCGAATTTCATTCGAGCTGAGTTGACAAAAAAGGAATGTATTGGATCATGAAGTGGACTGACTCAGCTGCTCACCTTCGAGCTGAGAGTGAGGTGGGGTGGTGGTATGTGAGCAGATCCACAGAAGGGGGTGTGCGTGTACACACACACACACACACACACACACGTGTGCACCACCCCGCTTGCACAGCCTCAGAGGACTGGCCCGCAGATCTCTGGGGCAGTCTTGTTTTCCTGGACTGCTGGCGACCAAACCCTTCTTCTCCGTTCGAAAGGAAGTTGGCCGGCTGTAGAGACGAGAGTGGGGGAGCTCCATTGGGGCTGAACTCTCAGCCCATTTGTTCCATTAAGCCCTCTGCTAACGGGGCTCACTCCCTTCCAAGTAAGAGCTGGAGTGATCCCGGGGGCTGAAGCTGTCACTCAGCGTCGACCAAGCACCTAGAGGAAGGAGGGGGCCAGCGTGCCCTAGGCACCGATGTCTCGGGACTCCCAGACGCCCCCTCCTCCCTTCCCACCTTCACCCCGTCGAGGCGACCACAGGCAGGTGGGGGAGTTCTGATTTTTTTCCCTTTCCATGTTGCTGGGACAGCCTGAAGGACTTCTACGATATCTATGAAGTCGCTGCCTTGAAGTGGAAGGTGAGTACACGAGTGAGACCAGGGTGGGGGAGCGGGCAGAGGGCTCCATGTGGACATGAAGCCGAGAGGCCCCCGGGGTCCCGCTCTTTCCCGGCTGGAACAGCGCCGTTCTGGGCGCTGGTCCTAACGCCCTCTCCCCCGGCCCTGTCTCCTGGCCAGGCAAAGAGAAACAGAGAACACTGGTTTGATGAGCTTCCTAGGACGGCGTTCCTCATCTTCAAAGGTAGGGTTCACCTGAATGTGAAGGCCTCTCGGCAGCTGGAGACGGGGGGCAGTTTCCAGAGACCACAGACCAGCCCGGGAAGAGCATGCTCAGAGGGTGTGTGTGTGTGTGTGTGTGTGTGTGTGTAAGAGACACAGAGAGAGTGATTCTCCCAGCAGGGAAATGCACGTTGGATTAGGAAGGAAATTGGTGACTTAAAAACCAAACCAAAAGACGCTTGTGGTCTATTCATCTATTAAAGGAAATTGACCAAGCCTGGTCATTAGAAGAAAATGAAAATTTCCCACCCGGAGATAACCACTGTTCATTTTCTAGTGTGTTTCTTTCTGGCGTCGGTTCTTTTTCCTGCGCTTTTAAAAAGCAGTCGTGGGATTACATTCTATCTTTTGTTCTGAAACCGGCCTCTTTATCTAACAGTGTATCCTGTGGCAGGATCTATACCTCATGTATACGATGTCTCGCATGGTATAAAATCAGAACATTTTAAATCTGAGTGCTCGTATCATTTACCTAATAGTCGCCCCTTTATTTACCGCCAGTTTTGAAGTTCCGCGTGGGGCTGTGGTTAGCGCACAGGGAGTTTCTCATGCAGAAAGCCTGCAGCCAGCCTGGGTCCGGGCCCCTGTGATCACGGTCAAGGTGGCATACCCTTCTTTGTGCGTTCTCCCCCAGCTGGGGCTTCGGGCACAGCCTTCGTCCATGTTTTCTAGAGGGTTTTCAGCTCTACTGGGATGATAGTTACCCAACTGGCTGAATACACTGTCCCGGGCCCAGGCCAGTAGTCATACAGGGTGCAGCCGTGGGCGGCAATGCTTTGCTCTGTTTCGTCCTGAGCCCGGGTCACCCAGGCTGCCCCAGAGCAGCTGTGGTCACTGTAGTTGCGTCCAGGTGTCCGCATCCAGGTGTCTGCGTGTCACCAGCAGAACAGGCCCTGCCACTCCACCCCCGGGCATGAGCACCCTGGTTGCTTGCGTGCATGAACGCGGTCGTAGGGGAAGGCGTGCTCGCTTATGAACGTGTCCATGTTAACATTCCCTCTCTTCCAATAGGAATCAATATCCTCGTGAAGTCCAAGGCCTTTCAGTATTTCATGTGTAAGTGTGCAATCTCAGCGCTGGGCCCCTTTCCTCCTGAGCCTCACCCCTCCAGAAGGGATGGGTCCCGCAGTCGTGGTTTTGACTTCTCATCGTAGGGAACCCCACACGTGTATAACAGTGGAGAGAGTGCAGTGAACCCCATGCGCCCATCACCCGACTTAGTTGTCATCCAATGGCCCGTCTTTCTCGTGCATCTGCCCCCTCACTCCGGCTCATGGTACCCTCTCTGGACCTGGAGTTTGGGGAGCAAATTCCAGAACCACAGAGTAGTGTAGCTGGTGGTCATGTCACTCACGTCTGCTTGAATCCGTAGCTTCCTCCTCCATCCCTTTCCCCCCTCTTGAAATCCGTAGTCGAAGAAACAGGACCGTTTGTCCTTCAGTCTCGTGTTTGCATGTCCCCGTCGCTTATTTCCTGTCATTCGGTAGTTCCCTCTAGAGCTGCGTCGTCCCACGCGGCAGCCGCTAGCCTCAGGGGGCTATTTACACTTCAGCCAATTAAAATGAAAAGTCCAGTTTCCCAGGCACAGGATCCACATTGGAAATGCTCGGTAGCCACAGATGGCTAATGACTAATGCAACAGCCCGGATGAGGAAATTTCCGTTGTCACGGAAAGTTCTCTCCAGGTTAGAACAGCACGAACCTGGGGGCTTGACGGGAGTCCGTGTTTCTCAGGGGCTCCGGGCCTTGCAGTGGGAAATGGGGTTCAGCGACCCCAGTCTGAGGTGCTAGAGGTGTGCATTGCTTGGAGTGCGTTATTGTTCCCAAGGCTTTTCAAGGACGGAGCTGGGGGGTTGGTATTTTTTAAAGACAAACTATATTGAGTTTATCCTGATGCTCCTAGTTCAGATTCAGCACTATGGAGTTTCCCCCTAACGTCAGCATCCTTTTCCTGTCCAGATTCCCAGTCTCAAAACCCCGTTTCCCAGCAACGCTGACACAGTTGCTCACGTGCTTCATCGCACAGCACACACACACAGCGGTCCCCGAGAACCAGCACACCCAGCCCCTGCAAGCACCCCAGGGATGCCGGAAACGCCACTCCAGGGGCCACAGGCTGGGCGCTGTGTTTTAGGGTCCCCTGGAATTGTCCCTCTCCAAGTCAGTGTGTCACCAGCTGAATACACATTTAGGCTTATTTATTTATTTATTAAGATTTTATTTATCTTTAGAGAGAGGGGGGAAGGGAGAGAGAAAGAGAGGGAGAGACACATCAACGTGTGGTTGCACCTTGTGCACCCCCTGCTGGGGACCTGGCCTGCCACCCAGGCATGTGCCCTGACTGGGAATCGAACTGGTGGCCCTTTGGTTCGCAGGCCAGTGCTTAATCCACTGAGCCACACCAGCCAGGGCATACATAGGTTTCTTTATGTCCTTTTATTTTTAACTCTTAGGGATTGCTTTTTACATTTAACTTTGTTGTATAATTACGTAAAATATTTGTATGGTTCCAAGCCAGATCTTTCAAAGAAGTCTCATTTATATCTGTCGCCTCCTCCGAGGGGTAACTTTTCATGTGGTTTATCCTTCCATTTACAAAAAACTGAATAGATGCACATATATGCATGGCTCCCCGCCCTAAGTAAACGATAGCATACTTTACGCACTTTTTTCCACCTTGCTTTTTCCAGCTGACAATATACCCCGACAGCACTCCATAATAGTACAGAGAGATGTCCCCCATTTCTCCTCACAGTGGACAGCACGCCTTTCATGACCGTGTCACGGCTACTCCCCCAGCACCCTGCTGATCGGTTAGGGTGTCTCTGGTGTTCTGCTGTCACAAGTAGTTCTCGAGTGGCTTTTTCCATGCATGTCGCATTGCGTCTTCGCTGGCGTCTCGCTGGGGTGGGTTCCTAGCAGGGGGACTGCCGAGTGAGAGGCCAGGTGTACGTGCATTCCGCTAACCCCGCAGTCACTGTACAATCAGACGTGTCCAAGGGAAAACACATACTTCCAACTCTCAGACCCTCTGTGTGTTGCCCACCGTTTATACTGACCTAGGATGACCTGCAGGTCCTACTGAAGCCTCTTAACTGGCTTCCGTGCAGTGACCATGTGGGCGTTTGTAGAAACCCTTAGCTGTTTCTCAGCGAAACGACCCATTGATTTAGCTCCGGTGGTGAAAGCGAGAAGGGGAAAGAGGCCACCTGTCCCTTGGGTGGGTAGAATGGCCGCTCTCCGAATCTCCCGGGGCTGTGGGTGTGGCCTGTCGATTGCCACGCCCACCCGTGCTTTCTCTGTTGTGGGACCGTCTGTTGCAGACTTGGTGGTGGCCGTCAACGGCGTCTGGGTCCTCGCGGAGACCTTCATGCTGAAAGGTGAGCCTGGAGGGGGCACTGGCCCGTCCCCCGGGCACTCGTGGCCTGCCTCTCGAGCTGCTGCCTCTCTGTCCTGCAGGCGGGAACTTCTTCTCCAAGCACGTGCCCTGGAGCTACCTCGTCTTCCTGACTAGTGAGTCTGGGACGTGGCTTCGGGCTGGGAGGGCTCGCGTCTGGTCTGGGGCCTCGTGGCTCTAAAACAGGGGCCCTTCCCAAGCAGCGAGCGGAATTGAGCCTGGTGCCATCCCACCTGTTTCCAAGCCTCGCACGGTTCTCGGTTCTCCTCCCCGTCCTGCGGGCCCAGGCTCCCTCCCCGGTGTGCTCGCGTCACCTGGCCGCACGGGGTCCCTTCAGCCCTCTCTCCGGCCTCACTTCTGCTAGTCCCACCACCCGTGCCCCCGCCTGCACCATGTCTCCTCCCGAGTGCCCCGTGCCCTTGCTGGCCTCGGGGCCTTTGCACTGGCCGACGTTCCTCTTCCTTTCGTTTCCCTGCGCCCACGGTGTGGTCATGACCCACTCGCAGTCCCTCCTCCCATCTGCACTCTGAGCTCTGTCGCGTGGTCACGGCCCTGTGTTGTGCACCCCCGCACGCCCAGCGCCCAGCACGATGCCGGGCACAGAGGGGGTGCAGGGAACTCCTGTCATCGGTGGACGGAGGGGTGGCCGGGCTGTTCCCAGAGCGGGGAGGGAGTGCCTCTCGGCAAGCTGCCTCAATGGACCAGCACCCGGGCCCGGCCTTCTCCGGGAACCTGCACTCGGACGGCCGTCTGGAGGGCGCGCGGCCTCAGGGCAAGGGTCTCCAGGAGGGAACTGGGCCAGGCCCCGCCGTGTGGAGGCCACGGCGGGAGTGCCTGACTGCCCGCCTCCATCCGCAGTCTACGGGGTGGAGCTGTTCCTGAAGGTCGCCGGCCTGGGCCCCGTTGAGTACCTGTCCTCCGGGTGGAATCTGTGAGTGGAGAGCGTGGTCCTCCCCCGGTCCCAGACACCGACGAAAGCCCCCAGCCCTGTCCCCTCAGGGGACACACGCCGCGTCTGCGGCTGCAGAGGACGGGTCACGGCCTCTGTCTCCTGCTGTTCCACCAGTGGCCCTGGGACCCCCCAGGGTCAGGCTGTGCTCTGACTCTCTCCGGCCACCCATGCCCGTTCCTTCTGCACATGGGCTCTGGGGGCCCCATAGCCAGCGGGCTCTTCCTGAGTCCTTGAACCTGCACCCGTCCCCAGCATGACTCAGCCCTTCCCCCAAACCCTGGAGCCCGCAGAGAAGGAGGTGCCATCGTCTCACTGGGCCCTTTCTCCCCGCCCCACTGAGACCTCAAGGGGTCACTTACTGCCCGTTAAAGCTAACTCGGCCGTGAAATCGGGCTACCCCGAGAGGTCTGGCCTGAGAGTGGAACAGGTCAATAAACAGAGAAGAGTCCAGCAAGTGCAGCCCGGGGTCTCAGGGGGGGAGTCTGGAGGGGAGGGGCCCCTGCCCTACTCAGGGCTCCCTGGGCTCCCGGTGGGGTCTGGCAACCCTGCCCCTCCCCTCAGTGACCTCATCCAGGCAGACAGTCGCCAGTGTGACCAAGGTCTGCCCTTAGACCAGTGCAGGGCCTTGGGGGAGGGGTGGTGCCGGCATTTCTGACCCCCCGAGATGTGGCTGTGACGGCACCTGGCCACACTGACCTCAGAAATACCATGAGTGGGTGCCTGGGAAGGGTGGGCTGAGAATGGGGGGGGACGCGAGATGTGGTGGGGGGCGGGGCTGGGGTGGGCCCGAGGGACCGCTCTCCCTCTCCCTCCCTCCCAGGTTCGACTTCTTCGTCACGGCGTTCGCCTTCCTGGGACTGCTGGCTCTGGCCTTCAACATGGAGCCCTTCTACTTCATAGTGGTTCTGCGTCCTCTCCAGCTGCTGAGGTGACGGCAGGGTCGGGCTCAGGGACAGGCGGGCTCGTGGAGAAAGGGGGATGGTGGAGAAAACCCGGGGACTGGCCTGGGCGGTGACTGGAATGAGCCGGCAGACGCACCAGCCTGGGGTCAGAGGCTGCCATAGGCCCCGCAGAAGCACCCGGGGGCCACTGTCTCCTCATGTCACCAGGACCGGTCACCTCTTACGATGGAAGGGAAACACGGCGCGGGTGAACTTGGCCTTTGGTGCTGTCCGCCGTGGCCACAGAAACACACGTGCTCACAGTCACGAACCGGAAAGCGCAGCCTCTGGGGGTTCCAAGGGACTTCCGAGGGCCTCCCTTGCTGTTCTGGAACAGCCTCTTGTCAAGAAAAACCCTCACTTGGTCCCCCCTTTTCCCAGGGACCCTTGTAGGGACTCAGTGCATACAGCCTGGCTCCGGGGACGGGGCCCCTCGCTCCCTGGGGATCGAGAACTCTTTGTGTCCTCAGGAGCCTGGGTTTCCTCTTGACTGTCGGGCAGCCGTCCCACACATGCCCATCGTCCCGCCCCGTCCCATCCCGCCCTTCCTGGGGGGAGTGGGGGAGGTGGGGGCTCTCCGTGGCGGAGCCCGCTTCCATGCCCCAGTGGTGGCGGCCGGCCTGGCGGGCGTCAGCCTCTCCCCACATACCTCGGCCCGTCCTTTACTGGTCTGCCACCCTCGGGCCCCTCCGTGGCGTGGGCTGCTGTCCCCTTCCTTCTCGGGTGTGCCGCCCTGTCCTGAGCAAGGCCTCGCCCGCTCTGAGCCTCCTGGCTGCCATGGTGCAAACCGTGGCAAACGGCCACACTGCGCCCTCCTCACCCGAGAAACACACTGACACACCAACGGCTCTGAGTCCCTTCAGGGACAGGCCTGTCCAGCCCCGATGTCCTGAGGCCACCACCACCCCTGCCCAGGGTCTCGCGTCACCTGAGTGAGGGCAGTCGGCAGTCAGGGGGTTGAGTGGGCCCTGGGCCTGGCTCCCACCTGGGGCTGTGGCAGAGGCAGGGCTGCGGCCACACCCCGTGCGTCTCAGTGGCCTGGCCTCCTTCCCTTGCTCAGGCTGTTCAAGCTGAAGAAGCGTTACCGCAACGTGCTGGACACCATGTTCGAGCTGCTGCCCCGCATGGCCAGGTACCGCCCCTCCTCGGGGCCCCAGGGCCAGGCGTCCCAAGGCCTGCGCCCGCAGGGTGGGCGGTGGGGCGGTAGTGGGGGGAGGGGAGGAGGCCTGGAAGGGACCGAGGTCCAGGGCCTGACGGGCCTCCGAGGAGACCGGACTCTCGACCACCGCAGGTCTCCCTGGCACCCTCCTGCACTGACCTGTCCGACACACTTAGTAGGGAGGGCAGGGAGCTGTCGCCTCACTTACCACCTGTGTCTACGTTCACAGGTAAGGGGTCACCTGTGAGTCTACCTTCACAGGTAAGGGGTGAATCTCTGCTCAAGGGGCATCTGTTCAGAGAGTCCTCCTTCGAGACGTTTTGTACCCCAGACCTGCATCACACGAGGCCCCTCCCCCGCAGGCACTTCCCAGGCGGCAAACCTGGCTAGGGGCATGCCTCTCCACCAGTCAGCTGCGTGGGTCCCAGGAGGCCGGGCTGCCGGAGGAGGCGGGCTCTCCGGCCTGGCCCCGAGTCACCCTGTGCCTCTGACCCTCCTCCCCAGCCTGGGCCTCACCCTGCTCATCTTCTACTACTCCTTTGCCATCGTGGGCATGGAATTCTTCTGCGGCATCCTCTACCCCAACTGCTGCAAGTGAGTTCACGCGGGCCCCCGGCCCAGGCCCGGCCGCCCGTGTTTCCAGACCGGTACCCGCCTCGCTGCCCCCAGGGGCTCGCCCGCCCAAGCCACCACGGCGGCACCCGAGAAAGGCCCCGGAGTCACCTTGCTTTGCTTTCAGGGCTCAGTTCAGTGCGGTAGCTAAGTGGGGGGGGGGGGGGCCTGGAAGCAGAGAGGTGTCTCTGCGGTGCGGACGTCTGAGCAGGCTTCCGTGTCCCCGCGGCAGGTCCAGGAGCCGCACCCCACCCGGGCCTCCATCAGCACCCCTCTGCGCCGAGGGCCGGAGGCCCCTCGAGAACCGAGCGTGGCCTGTGTCCCGAGGCCCCGAGGCCCATGGCTTCCAGCCGTGTCTTTCCAGGGGCGGCTGGGGACCCAGGCAGACGCACCAACCAGGGGCAGCCAGTCAGGATAAGACAGACAGACACCCCTGGGAAGGTCTGCGGAGACAGGGATGGAGAGTGGGGAGCTGACCCCTGGCCCCCCCCGCCCCCGCCCCCGTGACCTCTCCACCCGCTCCTCCCTCCCTCCAAGCTGCCAGGCTGCAGTCAGTGTGCTCTGCCACCCACGTTCCCCCCAGTGTTCTCCTTACTCGCTGCTCCTCGGGGCCGCATGCGCCGATACGGACACGCCTTCGAGAGACACGGGTGGCTCTTTGACATGTCAGGCTGAACTCGGAGCCTAGGAGAGTGGGCCACAAACTTCCAGAATCACCAGGCAGACCCCAGACCCCACCCGCCCTGCTAATCGGATGGAGTGTGTGCCTGGCCGGAGGCTGAGCACCCCGCCTTCTGCGCACACTCCCGGGAAGGGGGTGGTCCCAAGGACCAGACTTGCAGAAACGTCTGCATGGGTTTTGACAGACACGCCATAAACGTTTTAAATAACAACCTATTAGAACCCTTGGCCAGGCGCCAGAAAAGCCCGACAAGGAGCTTCCCGGTCCCTAGGGTGCTGCTTGCCCCTTGCCTGGCCTCAGGAGCAGGTCCCGGGTGGGAGAGGCCCCGAGGAGGCACTGCCTGTCTCCACCCAGCAGTGTGTCCTGCACGGGTGGCTCAGAGAGTGGGGGCCCGGCCAGCAGCAGAGACATGCCAAGTGGGGGCGGGTGTGGGGGGCAGGCGGGGGTGGGGGCGAGAGGAGCCGAGGGTCCCGGGAACGTCATGAACACGGGCAGGGGAGCCGGTGGGGGCGGGGAGGCGCGCTGAGCCGGGAACCGGGCCCGGCCAGGACGGCGCTCCTCGTTCACGCCTTGGGTTGCTTCAACGCCGCGTCCTCTGTCGAGGCGGCCGGTTGGGTGGTGACCGTCCCTCCCGCCCGTTTGTCTCCCCGGCCAGTACAAGCACAGTGGCGGACGCCTACCGCTGGCTCAACCGCACCGTGGGCAACAGGACTGTCGTGGAGGAGGGCTACTATTATCTCAATAATTTTGACAACATCCTGAACAGCTTTGGTGAGTGCGGAAATCTCAGGGGGACACTCCCTGGGCCTTCGTCGCTGCAGGTCCCAGGCGGGAGAGCGAAGCCGTCTGCGGCCTTTCCCTCCGGGCTGTTGGCCACGCCCCCCCCCAGGGCTCCATGGCCCAGAGGGAGCATGTGGTGTGCGCAGTGTCAGGGGTGCAGGCCAGGCCAGGTCCCGGGCTCCCTCAGACACCAGAGTCCCCTCCTTTTCTGGTACTTTTTTCGGTGTCAGGGAGCAGAACAGCTTCTTCATGCTTTGCTGGGAGGCGCGGAGCCTGATGCTAGGGACCCAGCGGTGCGAACCTGCCACAGTGCCCTGGCATTGCTCGGATGGGGCCCACACGGCTCTGCCCCTGGGCTCTGCGGAGGGAACAAGGATGTGGGGCGTGGAGGGAAGCAGCCCTGCCAGACACGGCTTCTCAAGGAAGGGGAGAGCCTGTGGCACCCCAGATCTGCAGCTCAGCCCTGGCCCATGACGCGCTGCTCAGGCAAAGGGCGCGCCCTTCTGGGGACAGGCAGGCTGGCAGCACTGTCCACGGGGTGGGGTGGGGGTGCACTTAGGGAGGGCCTTGGCGGATCTTTCTGGAGCTCACAGCCCAAGCTGGCAGGCGGGGGGACCCCATCGTCTAGGTGCACGGCACCCAGGATCTCTGGCGAGAGGCCACTTGAAACCGACCGTGAAAAAGTGGGTCTGATCAAGATGTTTTTCTTGTTCCCTTCCCTGTGGCAGTGACCTTGTTCGAGCTCACAGTTGTCAACAACTGGTACATCATCATGGTAAGGACCTCGGACAGCTTTGGGGGCGTCTTCCCACCAGCCTCTGCGGCAGCCCCCCGGGTCTCCCCTCGCCCACTGTGGCGCACATTGCTCTCCCCGTGCCCTGCGGGGGGCGGGCGCCTGGGGCACACAGGGTCGGCGCTGTGGCACGAGGCCACAGCGTGGGCTCAGGGGCCACCTCCTCGGCGGGGCTTGGCGTCTGTCCCTGCTTGCCACACATCTCCAGCAGCCACGAGTTGCCAGTTAGCCTCTGGGGCTCTGTCGCTTGGCCTCCACCGTGGGAGAGACTTTTCAGTCAAGAAGCAGTGTGGCAAGGGTCGTTGGCTTTTGTTTTCAATTCCTCGAACTCTTCCGAGGGCCACCCCGACTTGGGACAAAGACCGCTAGTTAGTCCTGGGGACCATCCAGGCTGACGCAGGACAGAGGAGTTTTTAGACCCAGGAGACCGAGGTCCCCGTCCTGTGTCTCCCACAACCAAAGGCGGATCGGGGAGGGTCAGCAAAGAGCCCGGCAGTGCCAGGGGCCACGGATCGGCTTCAGGAGACAGCGACCTCCCCGCTGACCCCCGCCCAGGCGTCCGCTCACGGGCTGCTTCCCTCTGTCTGCAGGAAGGCGTCACCTCGCAGACCACCCACTGGAGCCGCCTCTACTTCATGACCTTTTACATCGTGACCATGGTAGGTCCGGGGCCACAGGTGCTCCTCCTCCAGTCGCCTGTGCTCTTTGGGCGGCAGCTTGGGGAGGATAAGGCCAAGAACACGTCTGAGCGGCTCTGTGGGGGGCAGAGCCCCAGAGCTGCGCACACCCCTCCCTCCCCTCTCTCTGACCCCCCACCCCTCTGTCCGGCAGGTGGTGATGACTATCATCGTAGCCTTCATCCTCGAGGCCTTTGTCTTCCGAATGAACTTCAGCCGCAAGAACCAGGACTCAGAAGGTCTGTACAAGGAACAGGGGCATTCGCCGCCGGCTGGCCGGCTGGCCGGGTGGCAGTGCAGTGGTCAGCTTATGGGCCGCCTGGCGAGGCAGCTGATTGGTTGTCCAGCCTTCTGACAGTTCAGCTTATGTATCTGGCTTATCTCTCTAGATCGCTCATTTCATTTCCATTGGTTGTCAAATGTTTAATGACAGACACATGCTCTTGATCTCATTTTTTAAATGAAGACCATGCATGCCATAGTTTAAGAACCGCAGAGCAAGCCCTGGCTGGCGTAGCTCAGTAGATTGAGCTCGGGCTGCGAACCAAAGTGTCGCAGGTTCGATTCCCAGTTAGGGCACATTCCTGGGTTGCAGGCCACGGCCCCCAACAACTGCACACTGATGTTTCTCTCTCTCTCTCCCTCCCTTCCCTCTCTAAAAATAAATAAATATATTTTAGGAAAAAAAAAAAAGAACCGCAGAGCAGAGATGGCCTTATTGCAGACACAGCAGCTGTCTGTCCCTCCTGCCCTGTCTTCCCGAGGCTTCTTCCTCTGAGTTGTTTCTCCTTTCAGTTATTATCTCCACGTGGCTAAATAACATTTCCCTGCCACAGTCCTGGATTTAAAGGGCATACATACTGTGGACTGCAGAGCCCGGAGCACTGCCTCCTGCAGCTCGAGATCCCGGCTTCCCAAGCGCCTCGCCTTTCCCGGGTGGCGCAGCTTTCTGCTCACGGATCCTCTGTTCTTTCCACCATCGAAACAGCCGCACGCCTGCCACTGCTCGTTTCCGAGTCTCTGTCGCATCAGGCTGTCTGACCATTTTCTTACTGCTCAGAGAGAGACTCCCTCCCGAAACCCTCTGTCCCCGGGAAGCTGCCGGCCTGACCATGGTCCTCATAGTCCAAGGCGGAGGTGTGGGGGGGTGGGGGGATGAGAATCCCTCACGGCCAGAGGCTGCTTGGAGAGGGAGCCCTCACTGGGTGGGCGGCTAAACCAGAACGGCCCCTCCCCCCTCCGCAGTGGACGGCGGCATCACCGTGGAGAAGGAGATGTCCAAGGACGAGCTGCTGGCGGTGCTCAAGCTGTACCGGGAGGTGCGGGGAGCCGCTTCGGATGTCACCTGGCTGCTCAAGATCCTCTCGCAGATGGAGAGAAACGAGGTGAGGAGCAGCGAGGGGCCCCTCTGGTGAGGGGGCGGGTCGTAGCAGAGTGTGGTCCCCCCACTCAAGTTGGGGCAAGGCCAGGGCCCCCACACGGTGGCGCCTGCAGCCTCTGCTCTTCCGCAGCAAAACGCCGTGGTGTTTCTGGGACGCAGATCGAGGACCAAGAGCGACCTGAGCCTGAAGATGTACCAAGAGGAGATTCAGGTAGGCGCGCCCGTGACCGCGCCACTCAGGTCCTCGCCGGGAGGGGTCCTCCTGCCGCTGGGCAGGGGCTGCGCTCGGCCCTGGTCCTAAGTAGCAGGGAAGGCTCGGTGGGGGGAAGCGGTGTCACAGGTTGGGACCACTACCTGTGGTGTCGGGAGTCATTTTGGGGGGGCCCTCGGGGCTCAGCCTTGAACCCCTCACCACGTTCCCCTGCGTAGCCACCTCTCCTGTCTGGTTTACGTCCCGGCCACTTGTGCAGCCCACAGAGCCTCGTCTCAGCCTCCTGCTGCGGAAGCACACGGCAGGACACAGGACAGGCGGGGTCAGGGGGCCATGGGGAGCTGGCCAGGACGTGGCCTCTTCCCGGGCCCAGCGAACGTTGCCGATGGCCACGAGGCCTGCTGTACTCAGAGGGTGTCTTTCTGACTGTGTTTTTCCTAATTTAAGAGAAGGGAGAAGTCAGCTTTTTGCACAAAATCTCCCCATCTTTCCGAGTTGGCAGCTAAGCAGATTACCCTGCAGAGCACCACGGGGGCTGGCCCTCTGCATCCCAGACAGAGCCCGGGGACTGCAGGTCCCCCCGAGGACGAGCTTTGGGTGTTTCCCCCCGCTCTGGGGTCCCAGGGCTCGAGGGGGGTCTCCCTCGCCAGCCATCGTGACGTGCTGTCTGGCCTCCTCACGGCCGGAAACCCTGGGTCGCCAGGCCGGTCGTGGCCGGCGTCCACGCCCGCAAGGCTGGGAGGCTGCTGTGCCCTGACACGGACAACGCGTTCTGTGTGAAAACATGAGGGTGTGCACGCGCGGTGGCTGGCTGAACGGGGCGCCGCCGGGATGGCCAGCTAACACGAGCTTCGGGGTCATGGTTTGATTCCTGGCTCCGTGACCTCGGGCGAGTCACGCAGTGACTTCACACCTGCGGATGGGGACCGCCTCCCTCGGGGAGCAGAGGAGACAGCTGCGGGCGAGCCCGCACCTGGGCTCTGTCCTGTCCCCTGGCTTCTGCCGGCCCGCCCGCTCCCGGCCTCCGCTTCCGCTCCGTGAGACGGGGGGCGGGGGGGAATTCGGCCTCACGGTGTTTGCTAAGCTCTAAAGTCCCGTGGTGGAGACTCTCTTCAAAACATACGGTGTATTTTTTAATTCCTTAATTGCCTGAATACCTCTGTCCCTGGACACGTCAGACGACGGCCTCAGGTAGGCAGGCCGTCCACCTCCTTAGTCCCGTGCTGCGGCAGAGGGGTCAGAGGAGGCCCGCGGCCCCAAGGGCTGATCGAGAGGAGGGGGTGTCCACTGTGCGTGCCGAAGGATTGCGGTCACGAGCAGAGGGTGCTGTCACCGCCCGACTTGTGCCAAGCCCACTTCCTAAGGCGCTGTGCAAACCTCTCATCAGTTCGGGGCCGACACCACTGTAGTTTTTCTTTTGGGGGCCACGCTCGGAATTCCCAGCAGCTGTGGGGGTGAGGAGACCTTTCAGTCCCCGTTGGGTGGGGCTGGCAGCCCTGCCTCCCCCATCCTAGACGGTCCCCCCGCCCCCCGCAGGCAGAGGCTGGAGGCTGGCAGCGCTGCCCGGCCTGGTGACTGGCCGGCTGGGGGAGGCGCAGGGTGGGCTGGAAGGGGCGCAGCCCGCTCAGTCCCCCCCCCCCACCCCGCCCTGTGCTCTAGGAGTGGTACGAGGAGCACGCCCGGAAGCAGGAGGAGCAGCAGCGACAGCTGGACGGCAGCAGCGTCCCCGCCGCCCAGCAGCCCCTGGGCAGCCGCCAGCGCTCGCAGACCATCACGTAACCCCGGCGCGCATACGCAAGCCGTCTCTTCTATGCAATCACACAATAGTATTATGTTACTACGACGTATCAGAATGTGTGTGTACGCACATATGCACATGTTCACATATATGCACCTATTTATATAGAGAAGAAGGAAGACAGGCGTTGTCCTTAACCCCAGGAGCCAGTGTGCTTGGGGCGGGGGGCCGTCCAGCCCCTAGGAGCCCTTTCTAGCACAGAAAGCTCCGGAAGGCGCTTTCACAAGAGGACCGCTGGGATCGATCCTGCCCATCTCTGCAGGGCCCGGCTTTAACGCTTCAGCGCGGGCCAGCCCTCCCTAGGCCACGCCCACGCCACTGACAGCTTCCCCACTAACTCCCCCCGTGCCCACGTCACGGGTCTCTGTGTCTTGCTTTAGGGACAGAACCACTTATGAAGGAAAGAACCCACACCCTTGGGGTTCGTATTTCTATATATATATGATAATACCATCGAGCGTCCCCTTGGGGGACCTGGGCCTCAGCCCTAGCGGAAAGAGGAACCGAGGGGTGTTATTCTTGCACGCGGGCAGACCCCCGCCAGGCCTGGGCAGCAGAGACGGCGCGGACACAGTCCGAGCCCTGGCTCTGTCGGCCTCTGCGCACGCCCCTTCTGGTTTGGTTGCAGTGCTTGTTGCCGACAGCCCTACCGTGGCCTCGTTTGGAATCCGGGCCCAGCAGCAGCAGGAAGGCAGCCAGGGGCCGGCCCACAGCTGCCACCCAGACCGACTCCCGGAACGGGCTTTCTCCACGAAATCCCGTCTCCTGCTTGCGACTGTCCTGTCCAAGCAACGAGGCCTGTCGGTTAACTCGGGGCTCTGCTGAAGCCAGCGCAGATGCTTCACCCGACGAGCGTTGGGTTCCACTGCTGGGAACAGAGAGAAGGGCACAGACGCCCCCACGGGGCGTCTGCAGCGGCCCTGTGGCTGAACCTGTGGGGCCACTTTGCCCCTCGCCCCAGGGCGTCCCTGGGAGGAGTGGTCGGCACAGCCCCCCCCAGTGCCCCTGGCACCTGGGAGTTCTCTGAGATCAGTGTGGTCGGGTAGGACTGACACTCGAACCCAGAGCAGGCCGTCGGGGGTGGCCACTCTGGGGAACATGGTGGTGGTGCCACAGGCAGGGTCAGTGGAAGGGGCAGGGGCAGCCCCCACCGCCTCCCATGACTGAGGACGGCAGGTGAGCAGAGGTTCTGATGCCAGGTCCTCTCCCCAGCAGGGCAGGGCCCCACCCCGGGGGTGTAATACCCAGCTGACCACTCCCTGGCCATCTCCAAGGCCAAGCCTGACCCCCGCAGCCAACGCTGCGCAGCTCTGCCCCTCCCCGGGGTGGTGGGGAGAAGGGTGGGCGTTGTCGTTCTCACAGCACAGCCCTTCGGGGAAACGAGGAATCGCTGAGGTTCCCGTGGGGGTCAAGAGGCTGACGCCGTCTCTGGAGGACCACAGCCATGGCGGGCAGCTCGGCGGCGCCGAGCCCCGGCTGGAACCGGGTCCCCTGCCCCAAGGAGGAGCTTCATTTGCATACCGGGTGCCTTGCAGCTTTTGCGCACTGAAATGGGCCTTTGGGAGGGGGGGTCGAGGGGCAGCCTCTGCAGGAGGGCAGGAGGCCCCCAGCCTGAGCCTCTGAGGCCTCGTTCTAGCCCCGTCTTCCGCCCCAGGGGCTGCAAACCTAGGAGGGGCACCAGGGCGTTGAGGCCCCCCAGTGTGAGGGCCGGTACCAGGAAGGGGGGCTTTAGGCCAGTCCCCCTGACCCTGTCCTGAGCTTTAGCTCAGAGGGGATGAAGTCCGAGGGCCAATAGTGCTGACGGGCCTTCATCACTAAGGCTAAGGACAGCTTTGCACATAGGTTCATGGAGCGGGGAGCGGGTGTCACCCAGGGCCGTGAGCTCTGAGGGACCCAGGACGTCATCCAGCTCAGAGGGCCCCGTTCCTGTGTCAGCTGAGTGAGACCAGGCTGACTTGCCCTGGGTCGAGCAACCCGTCAGTGGCCCTGACGGCCCTGTACCCCCACCCTGCTTCAGGTGGGATGCCATCCAGCTCCCCCCCGTGCCCCTCCCCCCCCCCAGCCTTACTCCACACCACGTGACAATCATTTTGTACGGATAGCGGGAACAACCCTGAGGTTTTGTACATTGGCGATTTGTTTCCTAGAAAACCCACTGTGTGTCGGACTTCTGGCATATTAATAAAAGCGCCTCTGCTTTGTACGTGTGGCTGCTGCCTCGTGACATCTGCCAGGTGCCCCTCTGTGGCTTCTGGCATTGTGGTGGGGGACATGGGGAGGTCCTGTCCATGGCCTTTCTGACCCCCGCCCCACGAGGTGCCACAAAGCTGAAACAGCAGGCCCCAGGCCTTCAGCCCTGGAACCAATCGCGGATCACCTGGTGCAGGTAAGGAGGAACCGGTAAGAGAGACCGGTGTGTTATTCTCTGTGCACTTCAAATATTTAATAACTTTTTCATTGGGAAAAAGACGGTTGAACCCCGTCACTGCCAGCATAAGGCAATGGGGCTGACGCTCCGGCTGCTCACTGAAGCAGGTCGCTGACAGCAGAAGGTGCTAGGGGCGGGTGGGTGGGGGGGCGCTCCTTGTCCTCCCAAGAGTTGGCAGGCCTCGGAACCCCAGCCCAGGGCCCCTCCCCCCACCCCCAGGTAGGCACCGAGCACAGGTTCCCTCCTGTTCTGCCGCTGAGGGAGCCCAAGGTGAAGGGCGGGGTTCGCCGGCAGCCAGCCCGAGGTGCCGGGGTGGAGCCTAGAGCTGTGCCGTCCCGCTAGGCAGCCAAGGGTGGGGCCAGCACCACGGGCTGGTACTTGGGAGCCACGGGATTCAATAGCGTAGATGGCCGTGACGAGTTCACCTGCTTCTTTTGGCTTTATTAACGTGGCGGCTTGAAAATGCAACATGAGGCATGTGTCTCACATTCCATTTCCGCCGGATGGTGCTCAGGACTCAGCCCACGGCAGCTGCCCGAGCCCACGGCACACGGGACGCTCTGCCCACCGGGTCCCAGTCGCCCCGGCTCCTGACCTGGGTTTGGCAGCCATTCGAGCCCTGAGAAGATGCAGGAAAGCAGCAGGGGGCACCTCCGGGGAGGGGCCTGGGCCTCTGTCGTCGCCTCCAGCCCCTCAACGCCAACCTGGGCGGCACCCCTTCACCCTAAACCTCAGCCTGGGAGAGGCTCCGGAGAGAAGTCTACCTTCTGTCTGGAACTGTCCGCCCACAACGAAGTCCAGTCTCCAAAGTCCCAGAAACAAGGCTCAGCTTTGCTCCCGGCCCACAGCAGCGCCTAGGAGCCCCTTGTAGGGAGAGTGGTCCTTCCAGCCCTCACGGCGCTCCACCAAGCATACGCCTCCGGCTCTGCAGAAGGCGCCTCTGGCTTCCATAGTCATCCATCTTCCTCCATCTTCCACCTCGCCGCCTGCAGTGACACCTCCCGACCACCAGGTGGACCCGGACACGGGGCTTCACTCACACACTTGGCAAGTGGATCACCCCGAACTCGGTGAGCAGGGCCACCACGAGGAAGCTCACGTAGAAAAGGAGCAGGCAGGAGCCGTAGACCTTGTTCAGCTGGAAGGACTGCAGCGGGACCGAGACCAGGGAACCGACGAGGCTGAGGCCCAGGGCGCCAGCCAAGATCCACACCAACAGGCCATCTGGCTCCAGCTGGGCAGGGGGAGGGGACAGGGGAGAGAGGCTGGGTCACTACAGCCAACAGCCACCCGATGCTTGAGGGCCCCCGGCCACGACCCAGCGCACAAGGCCCACCCTGTGGATGGCACGCCCCACCTTGACCTTCCAGGTTTTAAGCTACCTGCTTTGGTCATTTGTTGGGGCAGCTCTAGAAAACGAACACAATATGTTATATACATACATGTATATAACATGAAGTTGTTGAAAAATTCTCAAGCGATACAGAGAAGTACAAGGAACGGAACCCGTCCCCACCCCACCTGTCTGCCTTCTGGACCTGGCATGTATCTTAACACCTTCAGCCTTCCGTCCTCCCGACCCCCCCCACAGACGAGGAAACCGGGCAAGTGACAGAGCCCAGACACAAGTCCCAGCTCGGAACCCGTGCCCTGTCCTGTCTCCCCGTACAGTGACACGCGTGTGGGTGCACATGCATGTAGGCCTGTGCCCGAAACCCGAGAACGGGGCTCGTGCAGCAAGTGCGTGGGTGAGAGCAGCCCGAGTTCAGCACCCAACAGCACTCCGTGGGCCGGGGACCCTCCAGGGTGCCCCATGACTCCCTAAGGTGGTGGGATGCCGGAGGGCGCGCACCACCAACGGGAACACGGGATACGTGGTCAACGAGGAACACCAGCAAAGAAACAGACCCTCAGGGGCCCCACCCTAGGGCCCCATTATCCAGAACCGCCAGAGAATCGATAATGAAAGGAACCGTGAAACCCGGGAAGAGCATGAACAAAATCTGCAGAGCTCGTGTTTACCTTTGAACAAGGCAGACTTGTCAAGCAAGTAAGCAGCTATTTGCTTCTGGGCGTGGCCGCCGTGGAAGCCGGCCCTCCTGCCAGCCGAGGACTGGCCAGCCACAAGGGTCTATTCAAGGCCTGGAGGTGGGGGCTTTGTCCCCACCCATAAGGCCAACTCTGGGCCTCGGGACTTTCCGCGCACAGGCCGAGCCGGAAACCATCCCTAGGCCACATCCCCTCCCCACCTTACCCCTTCCCCTCGTTGGTCTCTGCACTCAGGGCCGCCAGAACTGAGATGCGGGGGCAGAGGGGTCAACCTGCTGCCGTGCGTGCGGCGCAGTTGCCCTGTGCAGTGTTTTAAAACAGAACGAGTTCACCTAGGAACCTCGACTTCCTCAGAAAGTCTGGACGACCAGGCCGCCTGAGGCTCACCCGAATCGCTTGTGCATTTCGAAGACCGGTCAGGCCTGGGCAGCATCCGAATTCTCCCCTCAGAACTGTGTCCTACCTTCGCCAGTCCCCAGGGAGCTTGTCTTAAAATGACGAGCCCCCACCCCCTGGAATGCCTGGGCCAGGAGGTCTCTTGGGCCCCCAGGAGTTTCTCAAACACTCTTGAAGTGTGAGAACCTCTTTCCCCCAGTGTGGTTCAGGACCTTCTCCTGCTCTGCTGGGCCCACTCCTAGGGCCGTCTTCCCTCGACGGAGGGCGGCTTCGTCCTGCCCTGCCGGCCCGTCCTGTGTGGGCCGTGTCGGGATAAGGCGTTCAGCCCGGCCTGTCCCTCACACGTGCTGGTCCAGAGAGCTGGGTGTGGGGTGGGGAGGGCATCCACCCCATTTCACAGGCGAGGACACTGAGGCTCAGAGATGTCCCAACTCATTCCAAGTCCGACCGCGAGAGACTCAGCTGATGGGACCCACGCCGGAACTCAGGCCCTTCCTGCCCCTTCCCCCAAAGCTGCATCTCATTACTGTGTGAATCCGTAAGGAATACATTTTTCAATCCTCCCTGCAGAATATGCTAAAGGGATCAGACTTGTCACACACGAAGGCAAATCTCCCAGAAGTGTCAAGTGCCCAGGGGGTGAAAGGTCTCCCATCCGGAAGACCGGAAGTGGAACAGGAAAACATGTTGTACACAGGCCCCTGGCAGACGTGACCGGCCACTCACCTTCACCTCCGGGTGGCCCCTGGAGATCTGCAGCAGGCAGCCCAGCCCCACTCCCACCAGGACATCTGCGGCCCAGCTCAGGAAATTTGCAGGAACAATGCTGACCATGCAGCCCACTGGCTTTCTCCAGGACCTGTCCCCCCGACCTAGCCACCCAAAACCCCACCTGAGCCCCCCAGCCCGTTTTAGCACCTCCGAGAAGCGCAGTGTCTGGAGGGCACCTGCACTCCGTCTGTGAGGCTGGAACGAGGTGACGGAAATGCTCGACACCTGCTGAGTGCGCAGCAGACGGAGAAGCTGAGGCTGGGCGTGGTAGTGACTGCCCTTGGTCCATCAGGGGACTGGTGACGGAGCCTAGGTCAGGGCCACACCCAGGGGTTGTTCAGGGGGCCCTGCTCCAGGCAGGGCACCCCCCCTCCCACCCCAACCTGAGAGGTCAGGAGAGGCCAGAGTCAGGAGCGCATCTCAGTGGGAACAAAGAGGCCATGGCAGGTCTGCCTGCAGGGTCCCCACAAATTCTGACCCCGCCCGGCCGGCCGCCTGCACCACCACGTCCCACAGGCCCCTTAGTCAAGGGGCGTGGGGAGAGCGGCCCTTCCGTGCGGTTAAATAACGTCGCTTTGTTTCACAACCAGAGTCTCTGCCACTTGCTGGATGTGGGCCACGGGCCGGGCGCTTTCCAGGGTGCTTTACTTCCTCATCAGTCTGTACCACAACCCGTTTCTCATGAACCGAGGCGACAGGCCAGGTGTGTGCACCAAGGTCCCAGGTGCACGGGGTGGTACTGGGACTGGAACCCAAGACCGCCTGGTCTCGAAGCTCTTCCTTCTCCACAGCCTACCCTGGCCGCAGGCCCGTCTGGCCCCTGGCTCGCTTTTATAAATGGGTCCTGTTGAAACAGAGGTGCACCTGTTTGTTCATGTATTGCCTGTGGCTGTTTCCACTTGACAGCAGCAGGGTTGCGTTGTTGCCAGAGACACGATGGCCTATGCAGATCTCAGCTCTGGCCCTTTAAGAAAAAGCATGCTGACTCCTGGCACCTGCAGACCATGATCTATAAGCAGGAGGGAGAGGGTGTCCCACAGGGCGCACGTCAGCTCAGCGTGGGTGCAGCTGCTACTCACGGGAGCCCTGACAGCAATCCGCCAGCTGCTCGGCGCTTACCAGGGGCCAAGCATCTCCGTCACCCCATCCAACCTTTCCAACAGCCCTTTGGAGGTGACCCCCCTCAATAAGCCCATCCCACAGCCGGGGCAGCTGAGGATCCAGCGGCCACATCGCCTGGCCCAGGCGTCGCAGCGAGAGCCTAGCCCGAGGGTGGCCGTGGAGCAACCCACGGCTCTCGGAGCCCGTGCCACCGGCGCCCAGGCAGCTCGGGCGGTCCCAAGAAGGATACTGAAGATGATGCCGCCAAAGCAGGCCGAGAACGCCATCCGGGGGTAGCCCTGGCGGGCCAGCGTGAAGTCGGAGAAGACATCTGCGTGGAAACCAGAGGGGCTGTGAGTGCTGAGGGGCTTCTCCCGGCCGGCCGTGGTCATTCACTCCTTCCTGCTCTGCTCACCCACTGTCATTCGGTCAACAAACGAGGGGAGATGCCCCCCGGGTCTGGCGGTAGCTGGCCAGCTGCTATGAGAGGCCACCGTGCCCTGTTAGACACCGTCCCTCCTTATCCTCTGGACCCCCGCTCCTTCTCAGCAGAGGCACCTCAGGGTATGACAAGCCGCCACCAATTTGTCACCCAAGTCCCATCTGTTGCTAGCACATACAGTACCTCCATGCAAATTAGGGGAAGGTACCCAAAAAGGGGAGTGGGAGAAGAGCTAGGTGGGGGGCCCTGGACCCCTTCTCTGGATGCTCTCAGGCAGCACACAACCTGGCCAACCCGCCTGGGCAGCTGCAGCCAGAGAAGAGTGTACGTAGGGGTGTGTGTGTGTGTGTGTGTGTGTGTGTGTGTGTGTGTATGAATGCCTACACATGCCACACACACCCATGTACTCATTCAGCACGGCTGGCTGCGTGGGCTCCGAGTCCTGCCTGAACGCTGGGGAGCCACGGAGAGTTCGTGCATCAGAGTGTGAAAGAGGCTGGGCGTCTACAGGACCTCCCGACTCAGGTGCAGCCCCGATGCTTGGTGACAGTCCCTTCAAAAGGACAGCGGGCACTACGCACACGCTGAGGACAAGTGCCCCGGCCGCCCCCACCCCCAGGCAATTCCGGCCGGGGCAGCGATGGGCAGGGATGTGGCCGTGCTCACGCCCGCAGCCCACGGGCCCCGCCTCACCTCCGATGCTGTTCCCCCAGGCCAGCAGCGTGAGCCCCAGCACGGTGTTGCTCAGCCGGAAGACCACGCCCAGGGACCGCAAGATGTTCACCACCTCCGTGGCGGCCGCGTTGATCCACAGGGCGCTGGTCAGGAAGCCCAGGAAAGCAAAAGCCTGGGGAGGGGACAGTGTGCGGGTGGGACCAAGGCCGGCCCCCGGGTGGGACACGGCGATGACGGGACCCACCTCAAGAGGCCGTCGGGAGCCTAAGGTGAGTTAATGATGGAGGCAAAGACGTTAGAGCCCAGTGCACAGTGAGTACCCAAGAAAACGTTAGCTCAACCCTCCTTTGGGAGGAAGAAGCTCCCAGAGCTTTCATCGGACTTCCGGTCTGTGGACCAAGCACCACCGACCCCAGCAAACTCCCTGGGAGCAGGTGCTCCCCACCCCCCGCCCTTCACCCCGGCCCCTGCACTCCGCTGCCTGTCTCTACGGAGCTGCCTGTGCCAGACGTGTCCTACAAATGACCTCATTTATTTGTGCAATACCTGTCCTTTGTGACCATGTGCTCACTGAGCACAGTCTTTTCAAGGCCCCTCCCTGTCGTGGTGTGTGTCAGGGCTTCGGAGACTGGCAGCAAACACAGGCTGAGAACCAGTTCTCTAAATGGTTGATTTGCTGCCCTGACCAGTGTGGCTCCGCGGGTTGGGTGTCGTCCCGCAGAGAGAAACGTTACCAGTTTGATTCCCAGTCAGGGCACACGCCTGGGTTGTAGGTTCGGACCCCACTGGGAGTGTGTGGGAGACCCCTAATCAGTGTTTCTCTCGCATATTGATTCTCTCCCTCTCTTTCTCCCTCCTTTGCCCTCTCTCTAAAAATAAGTATTTGTAAATTATCAATTTGCTGAAAATTCAACCCCCTTCGGGTTGGTACCTCCATTCAGAGTTCTAAAAATAAAAACCACAGTTTTTTATCAATAAAAACTGAAATGTAGAAGTGAAAATGTAAAACATAAAAATTTCACTTATTTTTAGACAGGAGAAGGGAGGGAGAAGGGGAAGGAGAAAAACATCAATGTGTGGTTGCTTCTCACGTGCCCCTCACTGGGGACCTGGCCCGCAACCCAGGCATGTGCCCAACCCAAGCATGTGCTCTGAATGGGAATCGAACCCACGACCCTTTGGTTCGCAGTCTGGCGTTCAATCCACTGAGCCACACCAGCCAGAGCTTAAGTAAATTTTTGAAGAAAAGGTTTCTGGACAAACAGCCTGAAAATTCCTTGGAGTGCTGCAGAGCAAACAGGATGGGGAAAGACCCCCACGAAGAGCAAACCGTTCCACCACTGGCCTGAGAGCGTTAGGAACCTGAGCTCATTACGTGTTTCCTGGTTAGTATCTCGGAAGAGTCTAGAAGGTCTTCAAGAAGGCCAACACATCATTACCATTTGGCCCAGCAGTTCTGCTCCAAAAAATACGCCCAAGAGAAGTGAAAGGGAATGTCCCCACAAAAATCTTTTGCACAAACGTTCATGGCAACACTATTCATAATATCCCCAAATGTCCATCAACCAATGGACACACAAAATGTGCTATAGCCACGCAGTGGAATATTACTCAGCCACGAAAAAGCACTACTTACTAATACAGGGTACAACGTGGATACACTTGGAAAACATTTGCTAGTAAGTGAAAGAAGCCAGCCACCAAAGGCCACATGTGGTAGGATGCCATTTATATAAAATGTCCAGGACAGGCAAATCCACAGAAACTGAAAGCAGATTGCCAGTGGCCGGGAACAGAAAAAGAAGGATGACAGGGTGTGGTTGCCAGATACAGGGTTTTCTTTTTTTTAGGTGGGGGGGTGATGGTTGTGCAGCTCTGTGAAGGTACAGTTGACCCCTGAACAACGCAGGGGTTAGCGGCGCTGACGCCGTTGCAGTGGGAAATCCACCCATAGCTGCAGCCAGCCCTCTGCAGCCTCGGTGTTCCAACTGCGGATCGAGAATACAGTTGGCGCCTAAACGACAGGGATTTGAACTTTGTGGGTCCCTTTATTTGGACCCACTGAACTGCACATTTCAAATGGGGGACTCGTGGGGGTATGTGAATCACATCTAAATAAAATAAAGCTGTTCCCAAAGAAACAAAAGAAGAAGAGGACCTTGAAGAGCTATAATAACCCTTGAACGTGGGTTTAAAGACCTGTCATTGCAGAAAGTGATTACTGGCCCGACGACCGCCCGAGGCAAAGACAGGACATCTGCCTAGAAGGCCTCAGGGTCCCCATCCCAGCTTGGAGACCCCAGAATTCTTACCCAGTGAAACCGGGGGGGCTTGCTGTTGGTTGTGACAAAGAAGGTCACGGCAGCCAAGGCTGTGCCCACGATCACCACTATGCCCCAGACAGGAAAGAGGCCACCTATCTCATAGATGCCATCTGCAGAGGGGAGAGAAAGGGAACTGGGACTCTCCACAGCTTCAACTGGACACCTCCACCTGGAGGCCCCCCAGAATGACCGAGGAGGTCTGGCAGTGAGAGGCCCACAGATGAAACCCACATACGTGCAATTATTTGGATATAAGAGATACCTCCCATGGGCCCAGCCCTGTCCCAGCCACTTCAAGGGGACAAGGAAATTAAAGAGAGCCCGTGTCCCAGGCTAGTCCCAGAGGAGCTAAAAGACAGCTCTGTGAAAGACAGACACTCTTCTGTTAAGGAACCAGCATGGGGAGAGCTGAGAGCACTCACCACTCTCACCCTACCCCACACCCACGGCAGACATCATTAATCGACCACGATGCTTCTGTCCAACAGAGCTATTGGCAGCGCCCTGCAGCCAGGCATTGCCATCGGATGGGTATCACTGCATGAGCTGAACCGCAGTCTCACCCCATCCATGCACTCTGGGTAAGTTCACTCCGCAAACCAATCCACTATGGAGTTATGGAAGTTCCAGAGACCTCACGTGAAAACACTAACGGGAGGAAACCCTGCCGGTAGGCAGAGCACTCTGGAACTCTCCACCCACCACCCTTTTCACCACTACGGAGTCGGTGCTGGTCTTACAGGCAGTGGGTGGTTGGATGGCCCGCACACACACAACAAGGCCCTCCTTCCGTTGTTTCAGTCGGGTTCACGGGCTTGCAAACATCAGCAGGCACAAGCCTCATGCTGGGGGCTGAGCACACGAAATCCCACCTATCCTGAGCACACCTTAGGGGGGCGATACTCACAGGCCCCTGACTGCAGGGTCAGGACCAGGACCAGGGGGCTGATCACCAGGTGCAGACAGTTGAGGGGCCGTTTCCAGTTCCTGTCTTCCTTGTCGGGGTCCACCAGGGGGACGGTGAGGAGCAGCAGGAACTCCACGGGCAGCTGTCAGGTTGGAGAACACAGGACGGCGTCATCGGCAGGGAGACCCAGGTCTGGGCTGGCCGCACCCGGAGCTCAGTTTCCCAACAGCCTGGGCTCCTAAGACACCGCCGCACCCCGGGCCCCCTCGCACCACACCGGCGTGCTCCCGGCTGGCTCTGCAGGACGGGAGGTCTAAGATCACGGTGTCGGCAGGGCCGCGCACCTTCTGGGGGCCGGGCGAGGGAATCCGTTTCCCTGGCTGTCCCAGCTCTGAGCGGCTGGCTGCCTGCGTTCCTTGGCCCCCTATCCCCCTGAGCCCTGCTCCTGTGGCCACATCTCCTCTGAGCCTGCCCCTCTGCCTCCCCTTCCCTCAGAAAGACCCCTGTGGTAACACGGGGCCCATCTAGATCACCCAGGATAACCTTCTATCTCGAGATCCTTCATCGCATGTGCACTGTCTCTGTTGACACCTAAGGTACGGCGTCCACAGGTTCTGGGGACTGGGACAAGCAAGGGCACCTCTGGGGAGGGCATCCTTCAGCCAGCCACAGCGCCTCATCCACTCACCTGACACCGACCCCAGTGGTAGGAACTGTCACTGTCCCACCCAACAGAGGAGGAGGCTGAGGCTCCGACAGGCGCAGGAGCCCCTCCAAAGCCACACGGAGGGTGTGTGCGGCTGGGACACAGGGTCAGCGCCGACGGGCTCCACGCCTTGCTTTCAGCCAACTAACTAAATGAGTGATAACTTTTAGCGAGTGTTTTTTTTCTTTGCTAGGCACCAGACTCAGCCCTTCACATATACGAGGTTATTAAATTGTCACAGGCACTGGGGTAGTCTGGGTGTGGTCTGCAATTCTTCAATCCCTTCCTGCAACAGACTCAGTCACATGCTTTATCAAGGGACTAAAATGTTGCAGGATGTACTTCCTGGTCCTGTTTTGGTTGATCTTTCTTGGTCGTGTCACTCGCTTTGACCAAAGGGCTCTGGGTGACTGTGACGGGAACGGAGGCTTAAAATGTGCTTGTGAAGTTTGCCTGGGTCTCTTCCGTCAAGACAACGGCAGGGTCCCAAGGACCCACTGGTCCCATCCCTGAGCGCTGACCACAGCCTGAAAACAGTCACCCCAGATGACCCAAACTATTGTCACTGTAAGTCCACGCGAGTCTGGGGTCACTTGTTCCGCAGCTTTGTTGCAGCAATCACTTACTGATACAAACAAGTGCAGAAGAGAGGCACTATCATTGTCCCCCTTGTAGGGGGGGGACACGGGGGCTCAGAGAGGTGAAGGGACTTGCCCAAGGTCCTGATGCAGCCAGAGCCACGGAGGGGTGCAAACCTAGCCCATGATGTGCCCCGGGGCCGAGGAAGCCTCAAACGGACACCGATGGAGGTTTCCACGTTATCTCCGGGAGGAGAGCAGGGCCGTGGGGTGAGACCGCGGACTTTGGCCTGGCGGGTGGACGGCGGACGGGCAACGGCTGCAGCTGGGTCTCACGTGCACCACCAGCCTGGGCCGGCCTGTCACACCCGGACCTCAGGGCACCCCCAGCCCAGGGAAGCGGCGGGTGGTGGTCAGGAACACTCAGCGTTGTCCTCCTGGGGCTCACCTTGACCCAGCCCCTCACCCCGGGCCCAGTTCCCCACCCTCGCCCGGTCGGGAGGGGCCCTTCCTCCCCACTCTCTGTCCCAGGGCGGGTGCTCTCCTTCCGTGGGGGGGCAGAGCCCCAGGTCAGGCCATCAGCCAATCTCCACGACTCAGCTTCCCCATCGGGTCCCAGGTGATCTCATTCCGAGAGGCCCCAGCAGACCTCCGCCCCCCTCGGTGAGTCAGAGAAGGTTGGGTGGCCAGTGCCAGGAGCCAGGAGCCCAGGGCCAGGGTTCCCTCCTACCTTGAGCACCTTGAGGACCCTCCAGGGTGCCGGCTTGCTCCTCCACTTCCTGTAGTCCAGGGGGTTGAGGGCCCAGACCAGGATCTGAGCCGTGGTCTCCTGGTAGAAAAGCAGCGGCTGGTACTCGTCCCCTGGGTGTGCAAGGCAGGGAGGGGCGGGTGTCCAGCCTGGCTCGGCCTCCGGGACAGCCTCTCCCCTCCCACCGTCCTCCCTCCCGACCCCTGGAAGGAGGAAAAACCCACCCCACCCCCAACACAGCCCTGGTGCCCCGCCCCCGCCTCAGGGGCCACAGGGCCCTGGACTTACCATAGTCGTAGCTGTTGGCAGTAGAAGACACCCGCTCCTCCTCGGAGTCCGACAGCACCTCTGTCGCAGAAAGGGACGTGTCCCACGAGCCAGCCAGGGAGTCCAGACCCTCCCCACCCCCGTTCCAGAACAGGGCCCCTCTGGGCAGCTTGCGGGGTGCAGGGGGCCGAACCCTCAGTATTTTGGACTTCTCAGCGATCACTGTGCACACTCAGAGTGAGAAAGTCCAACTCACGAACAAATGCAATGACATAGCACGTGAACTTGGACACGGCAAGTGACGAGGAGGCTTCACCAGCACGAGAGGAAGCACAGAGGTGGGACTTGGGGGAATGAGTAGAAAAAGTACAAGGAGGACCTGGGTAACAGCAAAGGCCTCCAGAGACGTGAGGCAGTGACAAAAGGCGCAGAGGGTGACGACCTCCCCTGGTCCCCTTGGGGGACCCCGACGGACCCTCACCTGGGGTGGCTGGCATGGAGTAGACCAGCGATCTCCTCCGCTGCCACTGGTAGATCCAGGTGCACAGAACCACGGTGACCACGTAGAATACGTACAAGCCCAGGTACCCTGCAGACCAGGGCGCAGCCTGTCACCTGGTGGCGGCCTGGCCACAGGGCCCAGAGGGCAGGGGCTGCCAGTCCTGCTGCTGGTGCCCCGGGTGTGTTGGCCCGGCCCAGCACCAGTGGCAAAGGGCCATAGCCTGCAGCCTCCTCCCCGCTCCCCTGCCTCCCTGACGCACCGTCCCTCCCCATCCCGGGCCCTAATCGTCCAGCACCCAAGGATGTAACGGCTGACTCAGACAGTGGCCCCCAGAGCCCCACTCAGGAGCTAGGGGTCGGTGTCCTGCTCTGTGCCCCAGGGGGGCCCGGCCGCCAATGAGAAGGCGGTGGGGGAGAGTCTGGAGGACTTCCTCCCCGCTCCCTCCCGCCGCGGCAGGGTGCCCCGTCTCTAGCAGGGCCTGTGACCCTCCGCGGCTGCTGCTCACGCTGCGCGGCCCCAGCCCCGGGCCTGTGGCCCTCACTAGGCTCCAGGCCCCACGCCCTCTACCCCTCCAGCTGTGGGGGGTGGGCAGCACCCACAGTTGCGGGTCCCTGGACGTCTGTGCATCTCAGGGTACCTTGCTGATTTCCTTAACCCTCTGCGAACCGCCCCTCCGTCCACATCCCTGAGGCCACCTAAATGGAATGTGCGTGCTGCTGGTGCCCTGACAGGGCCGCAGCGGGCACCGGCTCCGCTGCACGGTAACATCTGACTCGGTCCACATCCTGAACATGCCCCCGGCCCGGCCCCACGCGGTTACCCACACCCCAAGTTCCCCTTTTGACTTAAGCTGGTTTGAGCAGGGTTTCTACCACGCGGAACCCACGGAGCCCTGTGCCCTGCTGGTGCCCTCCCCCCACCCCACCAGCCCCGGGACGACCCCGCCCCGGCCCCGTGGCTGCTCACGGCTCACCCAGGGCCCAGGCCAGCGTGACCCTGCCGAGGTAGAGCGCATAGAAGATCAGGAACACGGCCGCCATGTAGAAAACGATGTCTCTGAGGAAGGGCCTGGAGGCGGCCGTGAAGGGACGCAGGATGGCGATGCCGCCCGCCACCACAGTGGTCACCAGCACGCCCGCGCCTGCAGGACGGGATGCCGGCTTCAGCCCGCCCTGCGCGTCCCCCTACTCACCACCCCACCCCCCACCCGAGGCCGGGGCCACTCGTACCAAACAGCGCCCCGAAGGCCAGGCCGGCCGTGTGGGGGTCCGAGAAAGCCACCACGGCGCTGAAGATGTCGGGTGCGCCATTCCCAAAGGCCAGGAAGGTGACGCCATGGGAGAGCATGTCAAGGGGGGGGGGGTTCTGTGCAGAGGCCCTAGCCTGCCCAGGCCTTTCCTGGGCTGTGTGCGCCGCCCCTGTGTCCCAGCCACACCCCTCCCTCCCTCCCCCCTCCCCCCCCAGGGTGCAGGGTCTGGACGAAAGGATACTGCCACGTTGTGGGACAGCTTGAGAGTGGTAGAAATGGCAGACAAGTTAGGGCAGAAACTGCAGAGAAAAAGCAAATGGTGAGGACTCCACAGGCAGTGACCCCTGTTCCCGCCCTTCCTTCCCCCAAACCTGGGGTCGCCCAGTGCCAACCTCCCGAGACCCCGTGCGTCCCTCTATAAGCTGGACGGGAGTCCAAGGCCAAACTCACAACTTCTCCGCGGTGACTCCCAGAATGAGAAAGAGGTAAAGCAGCCAGAAACCCTGGGGGGGAGGGGAGACAGGAGAGGGAAGGGAGCGTTAAGCCCAGACTGGGCCCCCAGCCCACTCCCCAGCCCGTCCGCTGGCTCCCGGGGGCAGGGCCGGCTCCGGGGGGCAGGGCCTTACGTAGAGGGTGATGGCCAGAGGGAGGAGGTTGGGGGGGAAGCGGCAGAAGATGCCGTCCAGGTAGTCCAGGTAGCCCCCGTTGCTGTGGCAGTCGGGGTTGGTCCGGATGAAGTTGCAGCGGTCAGAAACGTTCAGGCCGCACACATCACGGCACTGCGGAGAGGAAAGGGGCGGGGGGGGGGCATCAGGGGGGACACTCCGAGGGTCACCAGGCCAGGCCCTGCAGGTCTAAGCAGCTGAGGATAGCCCCCTTTGGCCCGGCCTCCAAGCCTCCCATACCCTCTGGGTACCAGCCGCACGCTTTCGTTGTTTAAATGGAAACTCGTGTTTGAAACTAACATAGGCGCTGGGCCAAGGGGCTCAGCCGGTTGGAGCACTGTCCCATGCACCGAAAGGTCGCCGGTTCGATCCCTGGTCAGGGCACCTTCCTAGGTTGTGGGTTCAATCCCCGGTCTGGGCACGTATGGGAGGCAACCAATCAATATTTCTCTCTCACATCTCCCCCCACCCCCTCGCCTTTCTTCTCTCTCTAAAAATCAACAAACGTATCCTCAGGTGAGGATTAAAAATAATTAAGGTTTCAAAAAGAAATTAACACGAGCAATTCACGAATACATGTTTGTTCCAAACAAAAGCAAACCATATATTAAGATTTCTAAATTCCTCCTCCGCCTCCCTGCCCTCCATAATCTCACCTCTCTCCAAAGGTCCTGCCACAACCAGTCTGAAGCGCACCCTTACAGACATTTCTCAGTTTGATCACGTTGGCATGTACATCCTATTTTACAGTTACAGTTTGGTTTGTCTTACAGAAACAGACCCACCCTAAATCTCTTATTTCTGCAATTTCCTCTCTACTCATATATTGACATACAGTGAAGAAGAGGGGGATGAAAGTCGAAAACCTTCTGAGTGAGTTCTACATGCCGGGCACGGCGCTAGGAGCTTCCATGTCGCTCACGTGACCTGCCCAACTGTGTAAGGAGCGTGCCAGGAGCAAGCCCAGTATGCGGGTAAGGAGACTAAGCCGTGTCCCGGGTCCCCTCGGTGGTAGAATTGGGTGGGAACCCAGGCTGTTTGAGCCTCTAGAACCCCTATTCTTACTACCACGACCCCTGGCCTCACGGTAGTCTTCCATTTTTATTTCTTCTATTGATTGGTTTTTTAGAGAGAGAAACATCGATTTCTTGTTCCACTTCTTTATGCACTTACAGGATGCTCCCTGTACGTGCCCTGACCAGGGATCGAACCTACGACCCTGGCGTAATCAGGATGACGCTCTGGCTGACTGAGCCGCTCGGCTAGGGCGCCGCCGTCGTTGTAACAGCAGCAGGAGTGTATGTGACACTACGAATGCCCCGTAGCGGAGGCCGCATTTCCCCACCAGTGGGCTCTGGGTGTGTTTCATTTCCCAACGATGCCAACAGTGAATCCTGTCGCACATGACTCTCTCCGCACATGGGAGACCATTTTGTCGGCGAGATTTGTAGAAGTGAAAGCGCTGAGTGAAGGAAGATCCTAATCCGGGTTCCTCCAGAGACAAGAACTGACAGGCGCACCTCACTTGGGGCCCTTTGCAGACACGGCGTTTGTTACAGGCTGAAGGCCTGGGGCTCAGCCAGCCCCGTGTCCGGCGAGGCTACTGGCACCGTTTTCCCAACAGCATTTGCTCACTTCGAGTCTCCCCCGTCACGTTTTGGTAATTCTCACAATAATTCACACTTTTTCACCAACACTATACAGTGCAATATAAACTTAACTTGTATATGCACCGAGAAGCCAAAAAAGTCATGTGACTCACTTTATGGCACTGTGTGCTTTATTGCAGTGGCCTGGGACGGAACTTACACCACCTCCGAGGTCTGTCTGTGTAGGTGAGTAATACACTGGGGAGTGTGTGGGGTACACACCCCGACAGCGGGAGGTGGGGTGGGGAAGGGGGAACAACCAGTGCAGGCCGGATCGAGGCTGTTCCCACCTCGGGCGGGCCACCCTGCAGGCAGGGGTGCTGGGGATTTATGTATCCACCAGCCCCTCCTGTCCTCACCGAGGAATGCCGGGAGTGAGAGGTTAGTTTCCTGGCATTTCCACTTCCCTTGCTGATGGGTGGCTCTGGGAAAAAGACACCGGCAACTAGAAGTCAGCAGAAGCCCATCAACATGGCAGGGTCCAAAGGACACGGGCAGGGCTCGGATGGTGTCCGCTGCAGAGGGGTAAACAGCTCCCAGTGCCCTCCCCAAAGCCGCATTTACACGGGCTCCCAGCTGCCTTGATCCAGTTCAGGCCGGTGTGGTGGAGCCCTCGGGTTCAAGGGCAAGCCTGATTACTGGTGAAGTTAAGCGCTCTTTTCCTATGATAACGGCCATTGGTATTCCTTCTTTGAGCAACCAGTTTTGTTTTGTTTTGTTTTGTTTTCAGTTGGAATGTTTGCTTGTTCTTATTGACTTGGAGCAGCCACCTAAGGATACTAGCCCTTTGTCATTTGTCACGGCCTTTGTCATTTGTCAGGGCATGCCATGCATGTGCTCAGGCAATGCCTTAGGCCTTGTGGGCTGGTAAGAGGGGTCCTACCTATGGAAAGGAACCTCACCGGGTGATCTGATCATAAATTGCCAAGCCCGTGACTCCACTGAAAGGTTTTAAGCCCGCCCTGTCTGTTGTTCTTGTGCTCCAGGTTATCGAGACTTCGAAACACCAGAGGTAACACCTCTTGAAAGGGGCATTAACCCTCAAGAGCGCACCTAACCTCGTTAACCACCCCGCAATCCAACCCCCACCTGGCTTTCTCCAGTCTTCCAGTAGCTCCCTCCTTAAGTTCAAATGCATTAAAAGAACCTGCAAAACTGTTCCTCTCCAGGGCACTTACAATCTTGCTCCCCAGCCTATGTCATTAGTTTGGCTCAAATAAGCTTTTATAAAAATTCTCTCTGAGGTACATCAACAGCCCAGAAGGTCCCCCTTTTCAAATGCTTTGTTCGAAAGCTTCATCAAAACCACCTCGCATCCATTAGAATGACTATTATTAAAAATAAGTAAGTGTTGGCAAAGCTGTGGAGAAATCGGAACCCTTGTCCCCTATCGGAGGGAACATGAAATGGAATCAACTTTGACTCCTCTGACCCCCCCCCCACAACCTAATCCACCCATATATCTCACTCACTGTCCCTCCAACACTTACCCCAGATCTCACCATTTCTTTCCTGTCTCCCACACCCACCGTCACTCATCTGGGTAGCTGCAGGAGCCCCCCCACTGGTCCCCTTGCTGCCACTCTCAACCCAGAGAAGCCAGAGAGGTCCCCTAAAGAAATACATCTGATTTTGACAGCCCTCTGCTCAAAACTCTCTATTGGCTCCCCACTAGCCTAAATTAAATTTCACCTCCTAGTCTCAGCATATAAGGCCTTTTATAATCTGCCCACCACTCCCTCTCCATCCTTATCTCTCTCCACTCTCTCCCCCTCACTCACTCTGTCCCGGCCATTCTGGCCTGCTCACTGCGCGGGGAGCACACTAAGCTTGTTCTTGCATCAGGGACTTTGCACTTGCTGTCCTCTTCTGCCTGGAATGCTCTGCCCCCAGAGATCTGTACAAGTGGCTTCTTTTCTTCATTCTTGGCTCAAAGGTCATTTCCACATGGAAGCCAGCTGTGACCACCCAATCTGAAACAGCTGTTAATGCACCCTCCCCCTTAGAGCCCCGCCTCCCCAATGTCACTGGATCGTGTTATACGCAGCATCTTACCAGCTGCACTTCACATGTTTACACCTTTATCTGACCTCCCAGAAGACTGTTCACTCCGTGAGGGCAGGGATTTTTGTCTCTCGTTCCCTCATTTATCCCAGGCATCAGCTTTAGCGCCTGGCACATAGTAGGTACTCAATAAATATCGGCTGTTTGGATGAGTACGCCCCCACCTGATGTTGCCAGCTTCCCTCCCAGATACTCACATCTACAACGGGAGTCTGGTGCACACCTGAGGCTGGAAGTGGGGGGCCCATGTGGGCCCATGTCAATGGGCCACTGGTCCCAGTCACTGTCTCCACCATTGGCAGCACCCACAGCAGATGCAGCACCCACAGCGGACGCAGCACCCAGTGCAGTTTCAGTCGTCCACTGGCCATCAGCCCCCGGGGGGCCTCCCCGTCACCCCCTGCTTCCCCTTCTTCAGTGTTTCAGTTCCAAATGGCTAGCAGCTCCAGCCACCTGCGGGTTGGGGGTGAGAAGGACAGCCAGTGTCACTGAAGACCCCAAGACCCCACAGGAGGGGCCTGGAAACTTTTTCCAACTGAGGCTCTGCCCTTCCTCCTCCCCAAACCAGAGAAAAACCAATGTAGCAACCCACACTGTGGATGGAAGTTCCCTGAGGAGCCCAGGCCACCTCCCCGCCAACCCTACTCCTTCAGTAAACAGATTAGATATACCCTTCTTCCTGTGCCCCAGTAAGTCTCCATGGAAACCTAGGACCCTCCCCCCTAGCCTGAGACCAGAATATGGAGGCTGAAGGGGACGATTCTGAGATTGAGAATCCAGATTGAGGCCCCAGGGGCCCTGCTGGGTGAGATAAACACAGGAAGAGGGCAGTGGTGGGAACACTGCAAGTCCTCAGAACACACACGCACACACACACACGCACACACACACACTTTTGGGAGTGGACTTGGCCACCAGTGTGAGGCTACCAAGCAATCCTGCTGTTCTACGTCTATGAGTCAAGCTCTTAACAGTAATGATCTCGTCCAATCCGCACACATGGCCTGGGGGAGGAGGGGCAAGGCTATTACTCCCCCTTTTTACAGATGAGCAACCTGGGGCAAAGCGCCAGGCCGGTTCCTCACTCTCTGCCACAGCGCCTTGCCTCCCTCAGCTGGTTCTCAGAACGGCTCCTCCGGAGAGATGACTGTCCCCACCCCTCTTCAGAGGAGGGGGCTGGGCTTCGAGGAGTTCCATAATCTGGAGGAGGTCACTCAGCGAGGGGGCTTGCAAAAGTCAACGGGGCCTTAGAGGGGGAAATCGAAGCTCAGAGGGAAGTGAACTGCTCAGTCGCACAGCCCGTTAGCAGATTCCGGCTGGACGCCGCCACCCCGCCCCCCTACCCCACCCCACTACCACCAGGACCAAAACGGCTTCATCGCCTTCCAGAGAAATTAAACGAAAAAAAAAATCTTTGGCACACTGCCTTCCTTTTGGCTCCTCCACACGTTGTAGATGAGCATGTTTTATTTTTGCCATCAAGAAAAACACAGCCCAGAAAACGTTTGCTTTTTCAAGGATTGCACTGGCGGTTGTTTCTCAACGTCCTGGCAGGAGCGGGCGGAGGCCCCGAGGAACAGAAGGGGAGAGGAGTGGGCAGAGGCGGCGGGTCCCGGCACTTTTTCCTCACCTGTTGACTCTCACCTCTTTTGTTGGGTCTCCAGAATTTCGCTTGTCACCGACTTGGAAGCGCTGACCTGCAACCAGAAACTCCAAGTTTCCAACGCAGTGCCAGCCACTGATCGAGCTGTGCAGCGTTGGGGAGATCACGTCACCTCTCTGAGCGTCTGATTCTTCCGTAAAATGGAGACAAATGTTGGCCCATGAGAGCATACGATAAGGGTTCAATAAGTGCTCGCGCCTTTGGTGCCCCCAACTTGAGGGTCGGCGCTCGTCTCCTCCCTAATGGTCGCGTAGGTCTCGTACTCGTTCACCAGGGGGCATTTATTGGGCGCCTCCGGTGCGCCCATCCGGTGCCCAGCGCTCAGACGCTCGGAAGTTCTGCAGACCCAATAGGAAGGTGCGGGCGCAGAAAATCGGGACAGCCACCACCGCTGCGGCCGCACTTTCTATCTAGGTGCTCAGTTTCCCAATCCCGACAGACGGTGAGAACTTGAACTCCGGTGCCGGGTCTTCCCGCTGCGCCCCAGGGGGCAGCAGGCTCTTCTTACCTCGTGCCGGACCTCGGACCCATAACCTCCGAACCTCGACCTCTCCGGGCCTCGCGGCCTTCCTAGTCACTGCCCGACGACTGGCACCGCCCGGCCTCCCGCCCCCGACCCCGCCCGCCCGGGAGCCCCGCCCGCTGCAGCCTCGGGGACTGGTCCGGGAGCTGGTCCCGGGCTCGTCCGGCCCCGGCCCAAAGCCACGCCCCTCAGGGCTCGCCCCGCCCCTGTCCTTAAAGGCACAGGCTCCCGGGGAGGTCCCGGGGGTCTCACTCGCCACTCTCCTTTGAGCCTTCTGCCCTTCGGTTCTGCTTTCGCCGCTAAAGCAGAAGCGAAGCTGAAACCCAATGGGTACAGACAGCGGGAGGCGGGAGAGGGGAAGTTAGAGGGTGAAACTAAAGGGTTCTATTCCCGAGGGACGGGGAGGCAAGAAGACGCCAAAATGCCTCTAGTAATGGATGGTGATAAAGAGTATTGGAGAAGGTCCCGGGCGAGGAGGGCCGCGCCTTACCCATAAATATTCCAGCCGCCCTGCCTGAAATACCTCTATGTGAGCAACCTCCTAACTGGGTTGAGCATTTCCCTCACCTAGCATCCCTTCTAAGAGAAGGGTAAGGCAAACTGGTCCAGACGGGGGGATTAGTGATCTGCTCGTCCTGGCGGAAGAGAGTCCCCCTCCCCAGTTTCCCAGGCTCCTGGGGAAAGTTCTGGCCATCTCTGTCTTCCCTGCCACTGGCCTGGGGAGGGCACTGGGGGCCGGAACAGGGTGATGAAGCTGGGAGGCCCGCCTCCTCCCAGGCCGTTCCTCCAGCCCCGCACCTGCCTCCACAACTGGACTCTTCGTTTACCTACTCTGAGCCTGGCCTAAGGCCCTTCACCTGATGCCCCTTTCCGACTTCCTCTTTTACCCCCACCTGCATTCCCTGGGGCTCTGGCCTTGGAGATACTCCCCATTCTCTAAACACCCTGTTCCTTACTCACCACCCCGCCTCCGCTCCTCCTGCCCCAAGACCAGCCCTTCCCTTCTCCACCTGACAAACTCTCACCCTTATTCCCCACCCAGCTCAGATGCCACCGCCTCCAGGTAGTCTTCCACCTTCCTCCCTGCCCCTCCACCTCCACCTCAGAGGTTTCTCCCCTTTAGAGAGAGCATACCCTAGTTCCCCACGTGATATCGTTAGAGTCTCAGAGCATTGAGGTTCTGGGGGACGTTGGGTAAACATTTAGACTCTCGGAGCCTAAGACAGTGTCCCTCCCTGCCAAACAGGGACTGACAATCGTGCCCATCTCATGGGGTCCTTGCATAATGAAACTCAACACCGGATAAAGCCCCAGCCCCGGGCCGGGTGCTGAGTGAATCCTCCTTCACTGGAAGGCACCGCTGTCGCTATCATTCCATGAACCCTACAATGTAGGGACTTACCTGCCCTTGGCCCCCACCAGGCTGGGAGGCCTCACAGCGAGGTGCAGGCCCAGCTGGTCCCATGCCCCGTGCGTGGGAAGAAGAGCCTGCTGCCCGGGCAGCTGCTCCGCGGGGCCTCTGCTGCCTGGGGAAGTAGCTCTAGAAGTGCTGAGTGTGGAGCCTAAGCCCTCCTCCCCGAGGGGCTCTGACGCTGGTACTCAGGGGCCCCGCCAGGGTGGGGACTTGACCTCAGCACCCGAGGTCAGCTGGGCGGGCAGGTCGCTACCTCCCTGTGTCCCAGGGGTCAGGGAGGAGACAGGAGAGGGGGACAGAATGAGTGTTGGGGGAAGCTTGGAAAGACCCAAGGAAAAGAACCATTGGATGCAGACAGGGGAGACACACGTGGCCTGGGACACAGCCCCGGTTTGCCCCCGCTGTGGTGGACAGTGATCAGTGTTAGGGCCTTTTTCCATCCGAGCAAGGCCATTTTGACGTCACAGGAGCAGGCTCCACAGTCACTGAGACCCAGGTTCAAATCCCAGCTCTGCCATTGACTGGCTCCTTGACCTTGGACAGCCATCTCATCTTTTGGAGCCTCATCTGAAAAACGGGGCGACTAATGGCACCTATGGGGCACTCATAGGACCGCGGTCGGGATGTCTGAGATTGTATCTGTAAAACCCGAAGCCCATTGCTTGGTGCTTACACGAGCGGAATGAACGGAAGCTGCTGTCATTACCATCACGAGTAGTAACGAGAGCGAAAGACCCTGACCCAGTGTCGGGCTCTCAGTAGGTGAAAATGTCGACTCACTTTCCCTGAAAGAAGACTTTCGTGCTTATATCAGTTATCTATTGCTGAGTAACAAAGCATCCCAAAATATAGAGGCCTGATAGGACATTTTACTATCTGTGATGGTTTCTGTGGGAGAATTCGGGACGAGCTCAGCTGCACAGCCCCGGCACGGGTCCGTCATGCGGGTGCAGTCCATGATGTCTAGGTGGGAGTGGCAGGGGGCTGCCTCCTGGCCATTTCTCTGTCTTTTTGGGGTCTCAGGGGGCCTCTGTGGGAACCTCTCTGCGTGAGCTGATCTCTGGGCTTTCTCAGAGTACAGTGGCCTCAGGCAGCCAGACCGTTCAAACGGCAGAACTAGAACCTGAGACAGCTCGGGGATGCGGGAAGGGTTCCAGGAAACAAGGCAGAAGCCGCCTTACCTTTTATGACTTAGTTGTGGAAGTGACACTGTGTCACAAAGTAATGTGTGAGCTCCTGACGTGTCTGTGTACAGAAAAGTCACCCTGCACCAGCCTGAACCCACAGAAGTGACTGGTGGTGGGCGTGCAGGCAGTATAACAAGGAGCAGAGGGTAGCTGCATTGTGGAGGCACGAGGAGAAAGGACCCTCAACTCCTGCCGGGTGGGAAGCCAGCCATCTAAAGCACCACACGCAGGCTGGCTGTCCTCAGCCTTTGAAGAACAAACCCCAAACCAACGAAAGAAATAACTTATATTGAAGACTCACATTTACAGTGAGTCTTCCCATGCTTGTCTCATCTACCAGTCTTGTGGGGTGGTCCCCACTTGACAGCGGAGGGAAATTGAGGTTCAGGGAGATGATGAAGCAACCTGTCCCCAAGGCACCCACTGGGAAGAAGCAGTGATGGGATCAGCACCTGGGTCCCTGTGACACTGAGTGAGTCTGCTTCACCACCACCATCCCGGATCACTCCAAGATAAGGCCAGCTCAGGCTGACACCGAGCATCCCTGTTCTGGGGCCCCTGGCGTGGGTGGCAGCTCCGGGAACAGTGCAGGTACCTGGGGAAAGCGTGAGCAGAAGTAAGGGGCGAAGAGGAACTTGGAAGGGGAAGGAGAGAGAACCAGAACTTTGCGTCTCAGCCCAAGAGGTTCAGAGACTTAGATGGTTCCTTAAGATGCCTGAGTCTGAAGTGCAACTCATGCAAGTTCCCTCCTGATTCCAGCGGCCCTGAGCTCATAGTCACATGGCCCTGTGGGGGGTCACATAAACCCCCACAGGGACGGCATGCTCATTACCTCCCACAGCAGCCCAATTACCAGGGGGCAGCAGCAACTGCAAAAAAAATGTTTCCGCTGGCATCATTGGGGGAGTCTCCATGGGACTAATCCTTCTAGAAAGTGACTGGGCGGTTGATACATGTAAATTCTAAGAGCCCCGAAAGCACATGGGCCTTCTGCACCTCCAGTGCTGGCCCTGGTGCTCCCCCAAAATGAAAGATTTGGCTAATGCTCAAAGCACAGGAGTGTTTTGCCACAACCACCTTCATGACTGTGCAATCGTCGGAAACCCCCTAAGTGTCCGGTAGTGGCCCTTGTCGTGGTTGCCGCGAACAGAATTGTTAAACCCGTTTGGGATCAGCTAGACCCAGGCCCCCAACGTGAGTTTGTCCCGGGCGGGGGGAAGTCGCCCCCCTTCTCGGACTGCGGTTTTCCATCTGTACCACGGGGTTAGGGTTTCATGGATCCCTCGGGGTAGATGTGCGGATTAAACAAGGAAACGCACAGCAGGTGAAGGTCAGATGTCTCGTCTGCCGCACAGAACTGCTCAGCGGTCACAGAGAGCACACCCGGGTGACTGCTCTCACCTGGGTGACTGGTCTCACCTGAGCGGTAGTGATGGCCACCTGTCACCTGACCTATATAGGGCGGGTCAAAGGCCGAGCTCAGGGCCAGGCTACCACAGCTAGGGGGCCTGCCTGGTGCTGACCGGGCCACTCTGAGCCAGGCCTGGGTGCCCTCTGCCCAGGATCCCTGTTCTCTTAAGCCCGCCCGCTTCTTTGGGTGGCGGGGACCTTAAACACCGGCTGCGACAGGGCAGCCCCCGTTCCAGTCCACAGAGAAACCTTGTGGGACGACGACCACACTCAAACGGCTTCCACGTCCACCTCCTCACGTGGTTCTCATTCCCTGGCGTGGGGCAAGGATTCTCCAGATGAACTCTCTCAGCAAATTTCAAGTGTGCAATACTGCACGGTTGCCTAGAGGGATCCTGCGGCGCATTGCGTCTCCGGACGTCACTCATTCTGCGTAACCGCTGCCGCGCCCCTTGGACCTGCACTTCCCCGTCCGCCCCGCCCCTAGCCCCTGGAAAGCACCGATCTACTCTCTCTCTGCGTCCTCGAGTTTGACTCTTTTAGGTTCCACGTGTAAGTGAGCTCATGTAGCACCTGTCCGTCGGGGTCTGCTTGATCTCACTTAACGTAGCGTCCTCCAGGCTCCTCCGTGCTGGCGCAGACGGCAGCATCTCCTTCGTTTTGAAGGCCAAGACTACTCTGTTGCGCGTACGTGCCGCGCCTTCCTTCTCCAGCCCCGCCCCCGCAAGTGGGCGCTTAGGTGTTTCTACCCCCTGGCTATTGTGAATGACGCTGTGATGGCCAAGGGAGGGCAGGTGTCTCTTCCAGATGCCGGTTTCCTCCCCTCTGCGTGTACACCTAGTGGTGGGGTTGCTGGGTCATGTGCGAGTCCTGCTCTTAATTTTCTGGGGGAACTCCATGCTGTTTTCCACAGTGGCTGCACCAATGTACATTCTCACCAACAGTGCACAGGGGTTCCCCTTCCTCCACATCCTGGGCAGCACTTAAAAAAAAAGTATTTAGAGAGAGGGAAGGAAATAAGAAAGAGAGACATGGATATGTGAGAGATGTATCAGCTGGTTGTCTCTT